ACGAACACGCATCACAGAACAGAGCAAGTCAAAATTTGAGCTTATAAAACTTAAACTTTGTTATTTATTTATTAAATGAGCGATCGTTTCGCTTGATAAGACCCTTATTCATCGTCTGGAGTCGTTTAAAGCCCTTTGAACAGTTTGCACTGAAACTGTCTTTTGGACCTTGAACCGTTTGGTTCCCATTGAAGTCCATTATATGGAGAAAATCCTGGAATGTTTTCATCAAAAACCTTCATTTCTTTTCCACTGAAGAAAGAAAGACATGGACATCTTGGATGACATGGGGACGAGTAAATTATCAGCAAAAGTGTTTTTCAAAAGTGAACTACTGCTTTAAAAGGCTCACTGCAAAGTTTTGCCACCTGCAAATGGATGGTTAAAATTGTTTGTAAAATCATTCATACGTGATTTATCACATTTTTCATAAGAATGCATTTATAAAAGAAATTCGTGGCGTCATAGAAAGATAAATCCCTTTTATTTGCTTCATGAGACGTCCACGGCAAGACAACACGTCTCGGAGACATTAGAGACGTGGACTATGAAAACAAATGTCTTTCTTAATTCACTGCCTGGATTATTTCTTCATATCTCTTTAACCTCTTCACCTTCACAGTTTCCTCTTTTCGCCTGGCGTTCATTTCCCCCCGCACACTTAGCAGGGAAAGTATGTCATTTACTTGGAATACGCTCAGGCAACTCTCGAATCTCCACGATTAGGGCTTTCACGTCAAGTTGGTGAGAGATCATTTTCACTTTATGCAGTACCACCCGGATAAAGGTGAAAAAATACTCGTTCCCTTTAAATCTGAGCATATACTCTCTCTACAATTTGGAAACTCCCTTGTGTAAAAAAATGCACTGTGAAGATCACTACGGCCAGGCGATTAGAACTTATCCAGAGATTATCTCGCTGACGTAACGTTGACAAGTACCAGAAACAAAGCTGCATTCTTTATGCAGACTAGCCTTTAATCCATCGCTTCTCCCACCTTGTCCACTTGCCATGAAAAAAGACCTGTCATGCATTTGGCAGAGGTTACGGTGTTTCATTACCCACGTCTAGTTCCTCCCTCAGCATTCCTCTGTAATTATGAGACACTACAGGCTCTTCAGTGGCTCCAAAACACCCGAGAAGAGAAACAAGGGACGGAGAGGGCAAGAGAGCAGAGAGCGGATCTATTTCTGCCTTGTGTGATGTCATCTGAAAGGGTGCCGACCGCTTTCTCTCTCTCTCTCTCTCTCTGCCCTACCCTGACAAGAGCAGAAGCACACTAAGAAGTTAAGTCAAATGGGACACGGAGACAGAAGGGGAGAATTAAAAGAGGGTCAAACGTCTACCAATCAGCATGAGCCGGCGGTGGCAGATGTTGGCTGAATAACGTGAAGGGGGCGGGGCTTTGAGTCCAGTGCCAGGAGGGTGTCTGTCATAGCCGGTTGGACCACAAGAGAGGCAGGAGCGGCTTTTTGTTCCTCCTGGAGCTTATGGCTTTGTTTTCCCAGATTTGAGGATTTGTATCAGGATATGCCAGCAGTATGTGTACGGGATACCCCTGTGTGGATGACTCTCAGGAAACTCTAAAAGGACTGCATGTTGGAGTTATACAGAACTAAGGAAACAAGCAACAATGACAAGTTGTGACAATGGGGAGAAATGGAAACCGGCAGGATTGTCATCTTGGAAAAGGATGTTTAAGAGGAAGAAGTGATGTATTAGAGAATTATTTTTCAAATATATATATATAGCTTTATTTTCACCAATCTCTATAAAAGTAACTTAAACAAATTCATAGTATTTTTCATATTAAGTCTATAATTTACTCTTACTGCTGTATTTATTTACCTAAGCCCCTTTTCCACTAAAGCATTTTGAGAGCCGGTTCGGAGCCGGTGCCCGCGCGCGAACCAGTTCTTTCTGTTTCGACAGGCAAAGAACCGGTTCTCGGTCGGGAAAACGGGTTCCAAAGCGGCACCAACTCTTTGCTGGACTAGAACAGTTCTTTTAGCACGTCATGTTTACGTCGGGGGCTAGGCCGGGTTTAGATGTGCTCTAAACATCTTTTCTGACCATCGCAAAGCCAGGAGAAACTGCAGAAACACGCAAGCGTTTTTATTTTATTTTTTTTAATTTGAAACATAAGCAAAGAAGAAAACTATCACGATATAGAACAAGTAAATGGAAAGAAAAAGGGGTACATAACTTATCAGAAAAGATTACATATCGAACGAAAAGATTAAAAGACTTACGTATTTCAATTGTTTTTAAAGTTGTCTCGGTACACGAGTCAGAGATAATCCCAAAGCAATACTTGCAAGCGTTTCTAGCGACGTGCACAGTGACGTAACGACGTCGTTCCCTGGGCGCTCTAGTCAGTGGAAAAACAAACAGGTTCTGAACGGGTTCGCAAGTTGAACCGACTCCGAACCAACTTTGAACCAGCACCAGTTCCGAACCAGTTCTTTTTTCGGTGGAAAAGGGGTACTAGAGACTCCCGTTTGGCTTAATTTAAAGTCCGTTAAGGATTGTTGCACTGAAAACTTTTACCTCAAGTCATTGCCATAATGGGGAAACCTCTGAGTAGACCGGACTGTCTGCGGCAGAACCCGTCTTGTGTGGGCAAAGGAGAGGAAGAGGACCTCAACATCGACGACTGTTACGTTCCCCAGAGGTCCATATATGACACCGTGCGTCTGAACGAGCAGATCGACTCGGGGTCGAAGGGCAGCCTGGCCTCGAGACACTTCGTTGGGACTTTGCCATACAGCCATCGCACACTGGACATAAACGCGCTCTGTGGGAATGGCGTCTTGGCCTCCTCCAGTGCCTTTGAGCTCCGTAGCAGGGAGGCAGCGCGTTTGGATGAGCGGGTTGCGTTCGACGGCTTGAAGCTTAACGGGGATATTATCCGGGGTCCAGACACCATGCTGTGTAAGCCCCGAGCTGCGGGAGAGAGGAGGGAGCCGGCTCAGCACCGGCGCTCCTGGCGGACCTTCGCTCCCACCAACCTCAGCGAGTTCGGCAGCTCCAGCGGGATGCTGTGCCATGATGGAGCGGGTCGAGTGGGAAGAGGGCGCAGTATGACCAACTCTCTTACCTCAGAGGGCGACTCGGGCCTGTGTAGTCCCACGGTGGAAAGAGAACAACAAAACCCACAAGGTCAGAGGAGACCCGGGCCTGGTACAAGAAGCCTTTCTTCTGCCGAGGGACTGCACGTATCTGGAGACCTAAAGCCAGGGCATTCCCTCAGCTCCGGTCAGGAAGACTTCCCCTTCTCCCCAAAGAAGGACAGGTTACCAACTCCGCTGTATTACACGGACGCATCAACGCTCGGAAGCCAACAACATAACAACTCGGACCTCAGTGTGGCTCAGCACGCAGTTTGTAATAGCGATGTCAGGACGTCGAGCAACTTGTCAGGATACGAGGAATTGCCCACCGCTGAACTTCTTGAAGATGCTTGTTCACAGGAGGACTGTGAGCTTCTCAGTGTTGTGGTGACTGAACCAAAGACTCTTTCACATCGCCTGCCGAGTATAGGACAATACGCCACCAAGGACGAAAAGAGTTATGAATACGAGCAAAGAGCTACAGACTCCAAAATGGCAGATTTGGAGGATTTCTTGTTGTTAGTCGAAAGGGAGGCAGGTTTCAGCAATGGACTAAAACACATGGAGGATGAAGACATAGAGAGTCTATTAACATCCATAGCTGAATGTTCGCAGATGGACCTTGTGGCCTTGCCTTCCACCCAGGTACCCCAAAATAGCTGGATAATGTTGATTGTTTGATTAGCGTTTCCTGGGAGGGAAACGCTTGGCCTTTATCAGATTAGGAGGCGGCTGAATTGGGTTTATCGTTATTTGCTTGTCAGTGACTCAGATGTTGTGATGGTGCACAGCTGGTTATAACCGAGGAGAAGCCTCTTACAACAACCAGTTGGCTGGTGCTGGAGCACATCGTGCCCTTTTTAGTGGAAGAACGTCACCTTATAAGGATGCTGGCTAAACATATCTAGTAAAAGACCAGCGTAACTGGCCACTAGCTTATGTTTTGGATGCTGGTTCCCAAAATGTGATTGTAGTTGTTCATGTAGTCTCTTTTGGTTTTGGTTTTGTTCAAACCTCCTAAGAAGAAACATCAAAGATACAGTTGATTCTTAAAGGAGTAGTTCACTTTTGAAAAAACTTTTGCTGATAATTTACTCGCCCCCATGACATCCAAGATCTTTCTTTTTTCAGTCGAAAAAAAATTAAGGTTTTTGATGAAAACATTCCAGGATTTTCTCCATATAATGGACTTCAATGGGAACCAAACAGTTCAAGGTCCAAAAAACAGTTTCAGTGCAAACTGTTCAAAGGGCTTTAAACGATTCCAGACGATGAATAAGGGTCTTATCAAGCGAAACGATCGCTCATTTAATAAATAAATAACAAAGTTTAAGTTTTATAAGCTCAAATGCTCGCCTTGCTCTGTTCTGTGACGAGTGTTCGTGACTCTCCTGTTTGAACTCATTCATCAAAATGAATGAATCTTTTTCCGAGTCAATTCGTTCGTTTCGTTCGTTGAATCAACCAAATGACTCGGAAAAAGATTTGTTCATTTTGATAAACGAGAGTCACGAACGCGCATCACAGAACAGAGCGTTTCGCTTGATAAGACCCTTATTCACTTTAACCCAAGAAAGAAAGACATGGACATCTTGGATGACATGGGTAAATTATCAGCAAAAGTTTTTTCAAAAGTGAACTACTCCTTTAACATTGAACCACAACTGAGAACATTATGCAGTGTTTAAGTGTAACTTAAATTATTGGACTTTTATTAATGATTGATGATTCATTGAACTTCATAATATTCAAGCAAACACTGGATAGCTTACAATTTTTTTTGTAGTGCCAAAAGTGTAACTTCAAAGATTGGATATTATGTTCAATCTGAAACTCTAAATAGATTTTATTGGTTTTTAGTGTTCTTCAATATCTATCACTTACAGGTTTTCCAGAAAGACGTCATTGAGTCGCTGCAGAGCCAATTGCATGAGTTGAACACTCTGGGCCATTCACTGATTCAGAACGCCGGCAAAGGCACCAGCACCAAAAGCCTTGATCGTGATCTCGAAGAGGTCAACACCAGGTGGAATACCCTCAACAAAAAAGTACGACCCACTCTTCAGCTAGTTTCACAAAATGTGTACATTTCAATTGAAGATTTACAATAATATCATGGATGAATTGTTCAATTTCTTTATCTACTGCATTCTGGATTGCTCATAATCTTTTGATAGCAATCGTAATGTTTGCCAGTGTTGGTGAGTAACTAACGAGTACTGACGCCACTACCTTAGCTGTAATCTTCAGTACTTTGAGAATAGACCATTTCAAGGATGTAAACAATAACAAATGCGCTGGTGTTTGATTTATACATTTAATTTCCCACCGAAATTTTGAATGTGTTCGACAGCTAACCGGAAAACGTCCAACAAACAAAGATGTTACTTAAATGGATAGTTCACCCCAAAATTTAAATTCTGTCAGTATTTACCCGTAAGACCTTCGTTCATCTTCGGAACACAAATTAAGATATTTAAGATATTAAGATCGCTCCTGCATACTAGTCCATAGGCTTCTTGAGGGATTGAAACTTGCCGACCCAGAAAAGTTATTAAAGACATCGTTAAAATAGTCCAAGTGACTACAGTGGCTCAATTTTAACTTTATCAAACGACGAGAACACTTTTTTATGCACAAAAACAAACAAAAATAACGACTTTATTTCAACTATTGGTTTATTTCTCCCTCTGCGCGAGTCAGGTTACTAGTTTAATAGCGTAAGCTTCTGTTATTGTACGTCACACGCATCACACACACATGACCAGCGTCGGCCAATAGTGAGCCTACGTGTGTCGTAGCTTTACGCAATCACACTACGTTAACTGACTACAGGCCCATGGAGAAGGAAGTAAATAGTTGAAATAAATAATAATACTGACAGAATTTTCATTTTTGGGTGAACTATCTCTTTAAGCCAACAAATAGCCGTTGAAATGGTCTATAGTCGAGTGTAGCCTTTCCAGTATCCATGGTTTAGAACAAGTAGTGATAGTGTTAGATGCTACACCAACAAATGTTGTCATTTTTATCATGCCAAGCTACAGTTTTAAGGTTGTTCCCATGTGTGATCTCCTCCACAGGTTGCGGAGCGATCGGCACAGCTTCACGAAGCCCTGCTGCACTGTGGCCGCTTCCAGGATGCACTGGAGTCTCTTCTCAGCTGGCTCACGGACACAGAGGAGCTGGTGGCCAATCAGAAGCCTCCGTCAGCAGAATTCAAAGTGGTCAAAGCACAGATACAAGAGCAGAAGGTGTGACGACCCTATCTCAATGAGAATCACTTCGCTGATGTGAAATCTTTTGGTTTTCCGTATGGTGATGTCCGTTTGGTTTTCCCATTGGCTCTGTGTAGCTCCTGCAGAGACTGCTGGATGAGCGAAGAGCCACAGTGGAGCTGATTAAGACGGAGGGACGGAAGATGACGGCTTTAGCTGACACTGTTGATAAGGAGAAGATTGCGAGAGAGATTGAATGCCTGGGGCAACGGTGGGATGCCCTGCTGAAGAAAGCGGAGAACAGGTAAATCTATAAACACATCTTAAATTCTGGGAATAAAGTGTCTATAGTTGGCAAGTCAAATAGCTATTGGCTGAAATAATGCTTTAACCCTAAAACTGTATTCTGGACAAATGTGGGCAAAATAGTTTTGATTTATTGGTAAAAAAAATACTTCCCTTTATCTGAGCGGTACAAGACAGGCTACTTTTCCTAAGTTTGCCTCCTGAACACACACATTTTTTTTTTTGACTCAATTCTACAATGTTAAGTGGGTGAAAAAACAACAACTTATTCTTGTATTTTGGTCAAAAATGGGCACCCATAGAAATGAATGGGAAAAACTGTAATTTAAAATAAGCCAAAATAAGACACCACGTGACAGCAAAGTCACTTCATCTTTAGGTTTTAGCTCTAAGAACTTATTGGAATGATATTTTAATGTAGTTTAAAAAATTAATTAATTTACATATAAATAATTTACATAGAAAATATGGTACTTTTTGAAGTAAATAAATTCAAAAATACCTTAAAAAAAAACAAAAAAAACCCCACCATAAATGGATAGACAAAACTTTATCGAAGAGAGTGATTTAACATTTATTATAGATAAAAATTAGGATCACACCTGAGTCCTCTGTGCCCACATTTGTCCACAATTACAAGATTACGGGCTATAAAGTGAATACGGTTTGAGGGCTACAGACAAAAAAAAGTGTAGATTCCCTTGAGTACAAAAAATACAATTTCAGTAGGGCTGTCAAACGTTTAATCGCGATTAATCGCATCCAAAATAAAAGTTTGTGTTTACATAATATATGTGGGTGCACTGTGTATAATTATTTTACATATATACACACACATGCTCGTATATATTTAAGAAATATTTTCATGTATATATTGTATATAGATTTATTTATAATTTATATTATATATAAATATTTTATATATAAATAATATTTTTTTCTTAAATATATATGCATGTGTGTGTGTGTATTTAATATACTGTATATACAAAATAATTATACACAGTGCACCCACATATATTCTGTAAACTTTTATTTCAGTAGGGCTGTCAAACGATTAATCGCATCCAAAATAAAAGTTTGTGTTTACATAATATATGTAAGTGCACTGTGTAGAATTATTTTGCTTGTGTGTGCATTTATATACTGTATATACAAAATAATTATACACAGTGCGCCCACATATATTATGTAAACACAAACTTTTATTTTGGATGCGATTAATCGCGATTAATCGTTTGACAGCGCTAAATTTCAGTGTTTCCACAACAAATGTCATGTTTAATTTGGCAGCACTTTATTTGACAGTCCTGTTCCCCATGTAAATACTATGTACTTATTATAGTAATTACAATAACTATAACTTCACTAACCCTGAACCGAACTTTAACCCATGTAGTTACCTTACGCCTAAGTGCACGTACTTAAAAAAAAGTGCAACCTTTAATTTAATGTGTTTGTTTGCACTCCTTTGTAATTCTTTATGAAATTTACTCTGTCATTAATAAGTTATATCGTTATGTTTTTACCAGCATTTTACAATGGTTTTGACTGAGTTTAAACTTTGGTGGACAAATCTAAATAAATAAGAGTCAGTTCTCATTTTCCAGCTGTACTAATCACAATAACTACTTGTTTCATGGGTAAAGGACTGTGTTTGTACAATATAATCAAACCCAATCATGTCCAGCAATAAAACTAACGGCCTGTTCTTGGCAGACACAAGCAGCTGGAGAATATATTGGTGGTGGCGCAGCAGTTCCACGAGACCCTCGAGCCGTTGACGGAGTGGCTGACGGCTACCGAAAAAAGACTCGCCAACTCAGAGCCCATCGGGACCCAGACGGCCAAGTTAGAGGAGCAGATCTCCCAGCAGAAGGTACGGCGCCGTCTGTAGAGACGGATAGTCCCGTCACCATTATGAGTTTGTTTCCCATGTTTTACTTTATCCATTCCCTGCATTTATGTTCTCATTTGTTATTTTGGTTTCCGCTCCCTGGTTTTGTGGCTTCCCTGGTAAACAGGCCTTAGAGGAGGAGGTTTTGGGCCGTGGTAAGGTCTTGTACCAGGCCATGAGTCTGGGCCAGTCTCTTCGGGCGGTGGGCTGTGTGGATGACAAGGAGCTGGTTCAGGCAAAGCTGAACAACACCAACAGCAGATACATGGAGCTGCAGGAGCAGTGCCGTCAGAAGGCCGAGCTCCTGCGACAGGCCCTGGCCAATGCGCAGCTCTTTGGGGAGGACGAAGTGTCCCTCATGACCTGGCTGGATGAGGTGCACTGCAAACTGAGCGAAGTCTCGGTCCAAGACCACAGCGTGGCCGTGCTCGTGAAACAGCGCGCTGAACAGCTGGTACTTCACAAGCTCCTCCTCTCAAGGCTTCCTTCCCTTGTTTTCATCATTTCATTTTCATTTTCTGTGATTTTGTATCGCTCTGTTCGAAATTGCTGTCGACTGATGTATGTTTCAATGTCTAGACTCTTCATGAAGACATTGAGTTGAGGAAACAGGATATTGAACAGGCCGTCCTAAACGGGTTAGAACTGCTGAAACAGTCCACAGGTGAGATTCATGATTAACCCTTCTGCATCAATTAATGGGTAAAAAGAGGACAAAAATGTCCATGTCAAAAAACTGTCATAAAAATGTGACGCTTTGGAGCACAGACTTAAGTTTGGTATCATTTTAAAGAAGACCCTTTGCAGATTATTGCTGAAGTAAAAAAATAATAATAAGTAAATCCAAAAAAAAGTTATATAGGTATAAGTTTATGAAAATTATTTATATAAAATATATATTTTATAAATCAGGTTGAACTCAAAACTGCAATAAAATCAAAGCCATAAACCTAAATAGGTTGTGTTCCAAATTTGAGGATGATATCTCAAAAAATGAGCTTTGGGTAACAGTTTGTTTGGGCGTAGTAACATATTTTCCCCATTGAAAATATGTTATTGGATTTGAATTTACAGTTTTTCTCTCTCAGTATTACAAACACACACATATATTTTTTTATAACATAGGCTACATACTAACCACACTTTGACATCCATACCAACACACCCACACAAATATCATTGCATAATTTATCCAGTTGGCTCTATAATATGCCGAAGCAGAAAACAGGAATAAAGCGATATTTGTTTTATAGGCCAAACTTAAAAAAAAATGGCTCCATCTTTGAGCTTGCTCAGTTGGGGTTATTTAGTGTTTAGCAATGTTGTTGATCTGTGTTGTGCTACTTTCATGTTATCACTGTGAAGCTGCTTTGATACAATCTGTATTGTGAAAAGCGCTATATAAATAAATGTGACTTGACTTGACCATCTGATAAAAAATAGTAAAAAATAAAATTTTGAAGCCTTGCCATCAGAATGAAAGCCTCTTAACAAAGATTGCATAATTTTATAGTTAAAGGGTTAGTTCACCCAAAAATGAAAATTAAGTCATTAATTACTCACCCCCATGCTGTACCAACCCCGTAAGACCTTTGTTCGTCTTCGGAACACAAATGAAGATATTTTTGATTAAATTTGAGAGCTGTATAACTACCACATTGGCTCCTAAGGGACTGCCTCTTGACGGCCCAGAAAGTCAATGAAGAAAATGTTTAAATATCCCAAGTGACTACCGTGGCTCAACTATATGTTTATCAAGCGACACGAATACTTTTTGTGCGAAAAAACAAACAAAAATAACGAGTTTATTCGACTATTTCTTTTCTTCCTTGTAGGCCAGAAACGAGACTTCCTTAGATTTCCACGACGCATGCGCGAGAATTGCGATCTGCTTTTTTTGCTTACACCACTTCAGATCGCAATTCTCGCGCATGCGTCGTGGAAATCTAAGGAAGTGGGCGTAGTAACATATTTTCCCCATTGAAAATATGTTATTGGATTTGAATTTACAGTTTTTCTCTCTCAGTATTACAAACACACACATATATTTTTTTATAACACACATATTAACCACACTCTGACATCCATACCAACACACCCACACAAATATCATTGCATAATTTATCCAGTTGGCTCTGTAATATGCCGAAGCAGAAAACAGGAATAAAGCGATATTTGTTTTATAGGCCAAACTTAAAAAAAAAAAATGGCACCATCTGATAAAAAATAGTAAAAAATAAAATTTTGAAGCCTTGCCATCAGAATGAAAGCCTCTTAACAAAGATTGCATAATTTTATAGTTAACTGAACCGGGGATTAAAAATGGCAGGTTTAATGGGGACATTTTTGTCCAAAAGGTGCTGAGAGGGAGTATTTTTTGTACCTAATGCAAAAAAAATGTTTTTTTAAGAAAATGACGGTCAAATGGTAAAATTCCAATAAAAATACACGTCTGTGCCAAGTTTTTTGAAGTTAGCTTTAACAACAAAACTGAAAAGGACAAAAATGTCCATAAGGATGCACAAGGGTTAAAGAAGATTAATATGTGGAAGGTTTTCTGTTTGATGTTCTGTGAATCATGTGTGTGTGTTCACTGTCATTCAGGCGATGAGGTTGTGGTCATCCAAGGTAAACTGGATGGGATAAAGACGAGGTATTCAGAGATCAACACAATGAGCGGCGATGTTTCAAAGACTCTGGACAAAGCCCTGTCTCTCGCCACCAAGCTGCACAACACCCACGAGGAGCTGGACTCCTGGCTGGAGAAGGTGGAGTCTGAGCTGGCTTCGTTTAAAGCTGAAGAGCCAGTCGGAGAACAGCTCACCGGCTTGCAAGAGAGGCAGAAAGTAAGTGATGATGGTGGAGATGCATTTTAATCCTTAGGAAAGAGAATTTACAAAAGTGTTAATGCTAGGCAACTCGAATACCAATCAAACTCAGTGGCTATCACACAACACTGTTTTCAACTAAAAATGGGGAAAAACTTATTGGCCACGACAGCTGCTTTTTGGGGCCTGCAAATACAAACTTTTAAAAAGGAGTTTCAAAGTGCGAGTTTTATCGTTATCATCTCTGAGTAAAATACAAATAACAGTGACGTCATGCGCATTTGTAAATATACACTGGCCTGGCATGAATAATACTGCATTTTACTCGTTTTTGCAGATTCTTACATCGTTTTTAGTTTTTACTACATCATTGTCTTGTAAATGTTCCCCTAGTCTCCCCCTCATTGGTTTCCTTCATAAACTCAATAATATCTCAAACTGTTCTCAGATTTATGATGTCCAACATTTAGGAGAAACATACAAGATGTTTTTGAATAAAATCTGTTCATTTTAAGGTGCTATTGTGACACGTACTTATTATAGGTTTAGTTGCTTGTAAAGGATTAGTTCACTTTTAGAAAAACTTTTGCTGATAATTTACTCGCCCCCGTGTCATCCAAGATGTCCATGTCTTTCTTTCTTCAGGCGAAAAGAAATGAAGGTTTTTGATGAAAACATTCCAGGATTTTCTCCATATAATGGACTTCAATGGGGACCAAACGGCTCAAGGTCCAAAAGACAGTTTCAGTGCAAACTGTTCAAAGGGCTTTAAACGATTCCAGACGATGAATAAGGGTCTTATCAAGCGAAACGATCGCTCATTTAATAAATAAATAACAAAGTTTAAGTTTTATAAGCTCAAATGCTCGCCTTCTGTTCGAACTCATTCATCAAAATGAACAAATCTTTTTCCAAGTCATTTGGTTCATTCAACCAACGAATCGAATGAATTGACTCGGAAAAAGATTCGTTCATTTTGATGAATGAGTTCGAACAGAAGGCGAGCATTTGAGCTTATAAAACTTAAACTTTGTTATTTATTTATTATATGAGCGATCGTTTCTCTTGATAAGACCCTTATTCATCGTCTGGAATCGTTTAAAGCCCTTTGAACAGTTTGCACTGAAACTGTCTTTTGGACCTTGAACCGTTTGGTTCCCATTGAAGTCCATTATATGGAGAAAATCCTGGAATGTTTTCATCAAAAACCTTCATTTCTTTTCGACTGAAGAAAGAAAGACGTGGACATCTTGGATGACACGGGGGCGAGTAAATTATCAGCTAAAGTTTTTTCAAAAGTGAACTACTGCTTTAAGTATTGCTCTAGTAAGTACAGGTAACCTGTTTAACAAGGACACTGTAATATGAAGAGACACCAAAAACTCTAAAACCCAAGAGAAACATCTACTTAATACATACAAATTCTTGAAAAGTATAGTCAGAATTGGTGTATATATCTGTATGTGTCGCGTTCAGACGCTGCTGAAGGAGGTGAAGGACCAGAAGCCACTGGTGGACTCTCTGAATGAAGTAACCAGTGCTCTGCTGGAACTGGTCCCCTGGCGAGCGAGAGAAGGCTTGGACAGGATGGTCACAGATTACAACGAGCGCTACCGATCGGCCAGCGATGCCATCACGCAACACGTGGACCAGACTGGAGCCGCCATCTTAAAATCCCAGCAGGTACGGTGTCCTCAGAGGCTCAGCCTTCATCACAACGAAAGGCCCAAACAATGAAGCGCCTGTGATTGCTGCCTCATTGTGGTGTTAATTCTGAATGCTTCACAGTTTTTATTCTTTTGAGTCGCCTTGATGGGATTTACATAATACACTAATGGAGTGTGACCCACATTGATTACATTTGCATTACATTAGTGTGTTTATATGGTTTATTACTGAGTAGTTTATGCATAGCTGACTCGCCTGGGTTTTTAAAATACAAAGAATACATGTAAAATTATTATTGATAAATATATTATTAATGTGATTTATCCGGCTTTTATAAAGGGGAATGTTATGCATTTTAGACTATTATAATATCAGACACTTTGTTCACTCTATGTCTGAAACTTAAACATACAGTTTTTAGACTTATATATGCAAATGACCTGATTGGCTTATCTCTTTCCTTGTAAAACAAGTAACAACCGGTCTACATTTGCTGAATATTCACTGTGTTGTTATGTAAATGATATGTTAATGAGCTCGTGTGAATGGCCTGATTTTGCAGCTTTGTTTCCAATAATGCTCAGGGTTGACTGGAGAAGAAGCTGTGCATTATGAACATGTGTATGCATAGTACATCAAACTCAATGAATCTCGCTTTAATGCATCCTGTTAGAAGCGCATGGACATCTGATATGGCGGTCACACATCAGTGTTTTCTTGTTTTCTGTGCAGTTGGATGAGGCGGCCGCCACTGAGCTGGAGTGGCTGTCGAAGGCAGAGAAGAAGTTGTCCTGTCTTGGAGACGTCAGGCTTGAACCGGAGCAGACCGCAGCTCAGCTACAGGCTCAGAAGGTCAGTCGGGCGTTTGCGTGGTCGTCTCTCACGGTGCGTTCACACCGGACGCGAATAGCGCGTCAAATTCGCAACTACCTTGTCTAGTTTGACGCTTGACCACTTTCTGTTAATTTGCGCGTCAAGAGTGAATCTGATGCGTGTAAAAACAAACGTTAGAAGCGAAATTTATACACGTCAGAATCGAAACCTGTCGGCGGCCATCTTTTTTATGTTGATCGAGCATTCATCGAGAGAGTCACCTCCTCTGTAGAGCAGAACAGCAGATCCTTCACCACGTGAGCAAGCAGCTAGGCTCCTGATTGGTTAACGCGCCGCGAATTAATGCCAAAGTTCAGATTTTTCAACTCGGACGGCAGACGAAATTTTTCAACTTAACACGCCAGACGCTCAATTCACGCCATTCGTGCAAACTTGACGCGCGAACGAGGCATATTTGCCTCTACCGCGCCGTGCTCTACGTCTGCCATGGAGGCGGGTGTGTGTAATTTGCTGTCGGAGAGATGTGTCTATTCTTAGGGAAATGAGTACTGGAACGTTTCAGATATTTCACCTTCAAAATGTATCGAAAAATCGATATTTTTGACAACGCTCCATTGTACATTGTTTATTATTTCAGTTTTCTTTTTAAAAGGCTACAATTGAAAAATGTATGTATAAAATGACTGCTGGTAATAAAGTCCACATTGTCTTTCCTCCAGAGCTTCTCTATGGACATCATGAGACATAAAGATGCTGTGGATGACATTGTAAAGACCGGCGAGGTGATTATGAGCAGCAAAGATGAAGCAGAGAAGCAGGCGTTGAGGGTAAGTAACAGTACATGTGTAGAGACCCGGAGCGTACGCTGTCCAGCACGGCTGAAACCCCTGTGTCCCGTACAGGTGAAGCTCCAGGTGTTGTCGGAGAAGTACGCTGTGGTCAGTCAGCTGAACTCGGAGCGCTGTCTGCAGCTGGAGAGAGCTCACTCCCTCGTCTGCCAGTTCTGGGAGACGCACGACGAGCTCTGGCCATGGCTTCAGGAGACCAGAACCAGCTTCACTCAGCTGTCCAAACCAGCCATCGAGTACGAGGCCCTGAGACAGCAGCAGGAGGAGCTGAGGGTACGACCAACAGCAGGACGCTTACACACACTCACACACTCATCATCTGTCTGAAATCAAATCATTTGGTTGCGTTTTCTTTTGATAGTTCTCTTTAGACAAGTAATGTTGCACCTACATGTCAATTAGCTCTCAGTTGAGTTGTTAGTGGTTAGGCAACGTTACTTACTGTCAACAGAATGTCTAAAGTGGGCCGTCAAAATAAAGTGTTACCAGTTTAATTATATATAGTCAAGTCATCCTATGGAAGCGTACTACATTCACTTGAGGGAAAAAAAGCTACTCTGTTTTGCGTTCTGAGTTAATATCGCAGAATTACGAGATATTTTTTTACGAAAAAAAATATTACTCTGTTTTTATGAATTAACGAGTTAATTATCTCAGAATTACGAGATATTTTTTTACGAAAAAAAATATTACTCTGTTTTTATGAATTAACGAGTTAATTATCGCAGAATTACGAGATATTTTTTTACGAAAAAAAATATTACTCTGTTTTTATGAATTAACGAGTTAATTATCTCAGAATTACGAGATATTTTTTTACGAAAAAAAATATTACTCTGTTTTTATGAATTAACGAGTTAATTATCTCAGAATTACGAGATATTTTTTTACGAAAAAAAATATTACTCTGTTTTTATGAATTAACGAGTTAATTATCTCAGAATTACGAGATATTTTTTTACGAAAAAAAATATTACTCTGTTTTTATGAATTAACGAGTTAATTATCTCAGAATTACGAGATATTTTTTTACGAAAAAAATATTACTCTGTTTTTATGAATTAACGAGTTAATTATCTCAGAATTACGAGATATTTTTTTACGAAAAAAAAATATTACTCTGTTTTTATGAATTAACGAGTTAATTATCTCAGAATTACGAGATATTTTTTTACCAAAAAAAATTGCTCTATTTTTCTGAATTAATGAGTTAATTATCTCAGAATTACAAGATATTTTTTTCATGAAAAAAAAATTTGGAAAAAAATACGAGGTATTTTTTCATGAAAAAAAGTTTTTGCTCTGTTTTTCTGAATTAATGAGTTTAATATCTCAGAATTACGAGATATTTTTTTACGAAAAAAAATACTACTCTGTTTTTATGAATTAACGAGTTAATTATCTCAGAATTACGAGATATTTTTTTACGAAAAAAAATATTACTCTGTTTTTATGAATTAACGAGTTAATTATCTCAGAATTACGAGATATTTTTTTACGAAAAAACATATTACTCTGTTTTTATGAATTAACGAGTTAATTATCCCAGAATTACGAGATATTTTTTTACCAAAAAAAATATTACTCTGTTTTTATGAATTAACGAGTTAATTATCTCAGAATTACGAGGTATTTTTTCATGAAAAAAAGTTTTTGCTCTGTTTTTCTGAATTAATGAGTTTAATATCTCAGAATTACAAGATATTTTTTCATGAAAAAAGGTTTTTGATCTGTTTTTTTTTTCTGAATTAACGAGTTCATATCTCAGAATTACAATATTTTTTCATGAAAAAAATATTTTTGCTCTGTTTTTCTGAATTAATGAGTTAATTATCTCAGAATTATGAGATACAGTGGTGTGAATACGTTTGGACACCCATGAAAAGTTGCCTAAAAAGAGGAATAAAAAATCATCTTTTGGATATTGATCTTAATGCCTTAATTAGAAAAATGAGGAAAACTCCAACCTTTAAGGACACAAATTTTCTTTGTGAATGAATAATGTATCATAAATAAATAAATGTTTTTCCTTAAAATACAGGGTGCATAAGTCAAGACACCCCTTTGTTAAATTGCCATAGAGTCAGGCAGATTTTTATTTTTAAAAGCCAGTTATTTCATGGATTCAGGATAATATGCATCCTGATAAAGTTCCCTTGGCCTTTGGGATTAAAATATCCCCACATCATCATCACACACCTTCCACCACACCTAGAGATTGGCATGGTTTTACTTCAGTTAGCCTAATAGCTGGTTTGATTTGCGTTACATCATATTCGTTACATCATGCAAACCTGCATACGTTTATTAATGTCTCAAGTCTTATGAACTGGTCATAGTGTCACTTCTGACATAAACGTTAGCTTTCTTTTTCGATGATGACAGTTTCACTCACAGTAGCTTTCTCCGGTTCACAACGTGTCGACTGGATTTTGGTCCAGAACACATGTAATATATGAATCAGATTGCAAGCTTCATTTAAACAGAACTTTCAGACGTTGAAATCTGAAATGAGTGCATGGAAACATACCTAATGTGGTGATGAGGTCATCCTTCCAGTGTAGAGATGCTGATGTGCAGTCGCTGGCGTTTTATCAAAGCAAAATGCAACTCCAGACTGATTTCACATGGTTTACTGTTTCGCCTCGTCACAAAATCCCTGTAATGCAGCGCCTTAGTGCGTTATTAGAAGGGTTAAGAGGATAAAGTAATTCTGTACATCAGTGTCCTGACAGATCTGTGTGAAATGTTGTCTAATTCACAGTTTGCAGTCACGTGACTACCATGGTTGCCTGGCGGGCAGCAAACGAGTATTTTCTACGTAGAGTCCTGTAGTTCCAGGTCTTTCTAATAGCTATCAAGTCTGTTAGCGAGCTAGCTGCATAACTATGGACTAGGATTAACTCCAAGGTGAAGGTAGTTCAATTGTGTAAAGTTTTTTTTAGATAATCGAGCAGTAATAATTCCTCCATAAATAATCTAGCTCCACTGAAAACCATAGATATCACGAACCTTAAAAAACGACCTATCACACACTTTTGTTGTTGTTAGCAAAATACAACAGCTGCGTTTACACCGCCTCCGCGAGAGTGTCAAAGTGCCCAAAGTCATTTATTTTTCAATGAATTTCATTACATTAGCCTCATAACACACACAGCTGACTCACTGAAGCTGGCGGCGTTGATTGACGAAACTACAGGTTAACTTAAAGACATGATTAATCACGTGATCATACACCCATTGTATTCAAACAAATGTTGAAATGATCACTGCACGGACGTGTAACGTTATACTTATCTGGTTAGGGCAACCAATCGCACAACAACCATCTGGCGTGTCATTTACACCTCGAAACATCAAGTTTTGTATAAAAACTGGCGACCTCCTGGCAAGATCCTTGACTAGTTTACTGGGTTTTGTTGTCCGCCAGCCAGTGCTTGTGGCGTCACGTGCAAAGAATGAATTGTTTTTGATCCTTAACAGTTTTTTGATGATACTGTTGTAAATGTTTATTCTGATGATACTCCACCTTCAGCAAATGAGGGAGCTGATAGCAGAGCACAAGCCACACATCGACAAGATGAATAAGACCGGACCTCAGCTGGTGGAGCTGAGTCCCACAGAAGCCACGGCCATCCGAGAGAAGTACCAGACCACCGACCGCCTGTACGGCCAGCTCAAAGTGGACGTCAGGGTCCGAGCCGCTGTCCTGGACGAGGCCATCTCCAAATCCACACAGGTACGCCTCACTTTACTCTGTCCTCATGACGCATCCATGCACAGCATTTATATAAATCTTTTGTGATATTTTGAATATCTTTCACTTTTGAAAAGTAGTTATTCATGGTTTCCACAACAAAAATGTTTCTTGAGTGGCAAATCATCATCATGTTTTCTGAAGGAAATCACAGGATTAAATTGCACTTTACTCTATAAATCACAGAGAAAATACAAATATAATACAAATATAATATAAACAGAAATATTTCAGGCAGCGTATCCCACGAGATACATAGTTTTTATTGTATTTTATCACTTATGACAGCTTGGTCTGTCTTGAGTATGCTGGTCACATGATTTGCTTCAAATGATTCTTGTGATCAATTAGTCAGCCTGACCTAAATCCAACATGGCGTAGAACATTGCGATATTTAGATAAGTAAATATATATATATTAAACTTACTTTTCTTCTGAAAAAAAAATAAAATAAAAAAATAATAATACTTACATTAAATGTGAACATTGTCTTAAGGTGCTGAAGGAGAAAATTAAGAAATATGTTTTATGTGAATTGTATGTGTCTCCTGAGTCACGTTGCCTTTTTAGGGAATACAAAAGGGATTAAACTAGCTCTATTTAAAATGCACTATTCAAACTTAAATGATTGTAATTCAAGAATGCTTTGGAAAATAGACCCAAGTTCTAAAAAAATAAATAAAAAAATATAAAAAAGTTAAGGCAGTTTAAAACTTACATTAAATCAAATATACTGTACTTAATATTTATTCTTTTTTTATAAAATATGTATTTTACAAAATATTTTGTACTATAGACTCAAAGCCATGTATCTAACCAAGTTGTCTTCCACATTTGAAGTTGACATCACAAAAATTTAAATTTTGTTTAGGCGTAATACCAAAAACAGCCACCGGGTGACTTACATTCCTTTGAATTTAATTGTATGCATTCTGCCATAACAAATTAATAACCTTCTGTCCAAATATCACTTCTGTCACAAAATATGGAACCTTGAGACTCAGACCTTTCTAACAATATGTGTTTTGTCAATATTAAAAAAAGGTTATCAATTATGAAACATGACGATGCCCAAAAGGGGAGGAGCCCATTAAAAGAATTTAGAGTACCGTTTCTACGGTAACACAATGTCCAATTTCAAACAGGCTGAATCTTGAGTTCGTAAGCTTTCAAATGATATATAATGAGTCAACATTAGATCAGGTGAAGAATGGGATATATTTTGGATATAATTTGATATATCCCAAATATATATTATATTTAAAAAAACATATATTTTGTAGATATTTTATTTAAGTCCAGATTATATAAAAAATGAAATTAGCATTTTCCACTCTTGCCTGTTTAAGGGTTACATAAATACGGCATAAAGAGGCGTCCTTCAAAATCAAAAAACGCCTCATGACTCCAAGCTGTTGAGCGGTGGTGTAAGTGTGTAAAGGTAATGAACGCTCTCCACAGTTCCACGATAAGATCGAGCCGATGCTGGAGTCTCTGGAGCGCATCTCTGAACGCCTGCGCCAGCCGCCGTCCATCTCTGTGGAGGTGGAGAAGATCCGAGAGCAGATCTCCGAGACCCGAGCCGTGACTGTGGACCTGGAGAAGCTCCAGCCGTCGTACGAGACGCTCCGCGAGCGAGGAGAGGAGATGATCGCGCGCTCGGAGGGAGCACACAAGGACCTCTCCGCCAAAGGTGACTGTGAGCTGTTATGCAAATCTTCAATTCGTTTTTATTTGTTATATTTTTCATTTAAAGGTCCCGTATTATGCCCCTTTTCATTAGTCTCTGATGTCCCCAGAATGTGTATGTGAAGTTTCAGCTCAGATCATTTTTTACAGCATGTTTAAATTGTCATTTTTTGGGGCTCAGATAAACACACTGTGTGAGTGTGTGGCCCTTTAAATGCAAATGAGCTGCTGCCGCCGGCACAGGGGGCGGAGCTTCATGAGCTCGCGCTCAGTCTCTCAGGACAATTTCTTCAGAAACTCTCAGTAACGGTGTTCATTTCCAGTCAGACAATAATGCCTACAGAGTCAGAGTGCTGTATAGACATGGAACAGGTATAGTTTACTAGTTTAATTACGGTTATTATAACGTATTTGTCATCTGCTTGTATGTATCTATCATTTATTAATAGCCTACAGTCTGCTGTTTCGGACCAGGTCCGAATGATGATCAAACATATACTGATGAGTTTAATAAGTTTATTGTACATCACACAAAAGATGAAGCGCCAGTTTTACTTCAGAAAATCACCGTAAGAGCTGAGTAAACACAGTAAGTTAAGTTGAGGGAGTTGAGGGAGCGTTCCTGTGGGCGGACGACGACGACGCTAGTCAAAAAACTGTTTTACTGACGTCATTAAAGAAGGAAGTAGAGGGATATTGTAGTCCAAACGGGCCGTTCCATGTAGGCCACTTCTGTTAAATAAAATATCTCGCTTGGGGTTGAACTTTGAGCTTTATAATTTTACAGATATTATTTATAGTCAAACAACAACATTACACACACATAACTGGGATCACGAAGAACGGGACCTTTAAAGAAAATGTGTAAGATTAGTAAAATTATGCAAAAATCAAGTTTTCGATCTTATTTTCAGCCCAGAATGTTTTTTTCGATCAAGTTAAACTGGATTAAAATGCTTGATATTTTTTTTAAAACACATTTTCTTTTTCTGGTGTTAGTTTTAGTTAGCTGTGGTTTTGCACATGCTGATGCCTCTCTTCTGTGGTTTGATCTGAAGCTGTCCAAGATAAGCTGGACCAGATGGTGTTCCTGTGGACGGACATCCAAGTGCTCCTGGAGGAGAGAGAGGCCAAGCTGCTGGACGTCATGGACTTAGCGGAGAAGTTCTGGTGCGATCACTGCGCGCTCATCGTCACCATCAAGGACTCGCAGGACCTCCTGAGAGAGCTGGAGGAGCCCGGAGTGGACCCGTCGGTGGTCAAGCAGCAGCAGGAGTCGGTGGAGGTCTGGACGACTCACGTCACAGCTCATATCCCAGCCGGACACGCTTTCCACATCTTCACACTCGTGTGTTTGCTCCACAGAGCTTCAGGGAGGAGATCGACGGGCTGCAGGACGAACTCAACGTAGTCCAGAACCTGGGGGCCGAGCTCATGACCGCGTGTGGAGAACCTGATAAACCAGTGATCAAGAAGAGTATAGATGAGGTAATCATAATAAAAAAGTGGACTATCCCTTTAACTTGAATGTCAGTCTTCCCATTTTACACATTTCTGTGAGATTTGTTCCCTGAGTTCTGCTTATTAACACCAAGGAATCGCGGCTGCTAGTAAATATGTATTCCTATTTTGAACTGAATATGGTATATTTCCACCATATAGAATATAACCTGTTTCCCCAATCTCAATCTCTAAGATATCCTCGATACTTGAGTGTGTTTTACACCGTTGTTTCAGGCCCAGTCTGGTTAGATTCAGTCTCGTTCCGGGCGTCTATAGGCTATTTTTTCCATTTTTACACACACTACAGACTTCTGCGTGCTGTTGTTATTAGATAAGTGTATTTTGCGGGAGGACACGAGTCATTACTTTCTCCCGAAGTATTCACAGTTTCTGCCAAAATACCAGTTCATTGTTACTATTGTAAAATCATAATGTATTTATGTACGCTCTCAGAATTTTTATTTATATTTGCTAAAAATAAGTTATCAAGAGTTTGTTATAGTAAAAACTGTAATAACTATGCTTTATATTATGGTTACCATGGTAAATATGTGTAAGCTTTCCTTTTACATGTTTTAAAAGTGTTTTGGGAACATGAACTAATAATGAACTGCACTTCTACAGCATTTATTAATCTTAGTTAATGTTAATTTCAGCATTTACTAATATATTATTAAAATCAAAGGTTGTATTTGTTAACATTAGTTACAACAAGAATATTAACAACTAATATTAACAAAGGAAACCTTATTGTAAAGTGTTACCGTTACCGTTACATGTTTCTTAATGCGTTTTAATGTGTAAAAATGAGGAACTTCAAAAAGTCTATCCAGCATCAAATGTGTAAGCAGGTTAGACTTAAGGTTAACCCTAATTATGTTTATTATAGAAATAATAAAAAATTATATTTATATTATATTATTAATAGAGCCCGACTGATAAAGGATTTTGAAGGCCGATACGATACAAATATTTTTTGGTTTTAAAATCCGATATTCCGATATATCTGCCGATATTTGCCGATATTTTTTTTTTTTCAGAAACACGCAACAAAACATTAACAGATTTCCCTAACATTAGTTATCTGTAGTTATGTATGAGTTTTAACTAAAATATGATAATGCATTTTAAAAATAGTGGTTTAGCCACTCTTTGTGGTTAGCTAGTCTATGATGAGCCATAATTTAGCAATGGATTACGTCATACTGCAAATTGTAAAACATACATTTACAATATAACAGGCCAAGGAGAGATGATACGTCACATTGCTATAACTGTCTCGCGCTATTAAAGAAATACTTCAGTCACATTGTCAAAAGTTAAAAGGACAGTCAGTCAACTACACTGTAACAACGTAACTTAACTAATACTAGCTGATTCCGCAGCAAAATTGGTAATGATAGTCACAATTTTTGTCCTGCTTATTTGAGTTTAGAGAACTGATGGGGATGTTCTTTTAATTGTTATTCAAGCAATGTATGTATCGTGACCAACTCAACGAGTGTTGCCAACAGGGACGGTGTAGAGCACCCTCTGGTGGACAAACCATACAACTCCAACACTCATGACATGGTTCAAGCGTGTTTCGACCGTTTTTATTTTATTTTTGAAATATTCATTATAACTGCCGATACCGATAGTTTGGAAAATGCCTAAAATCGGCCGATATATAGGTCTGGCTCTAATTATTAAATAAATAATTAAGAGTGAACCAACATTAGTCTCTCTGTGACACTCCACTCACACAAAGCATAAGAAATGTTCTTCACTTGTTATGGTGTAATTTTCCATGGAGTTTATGAATGAATAAATAACTCTGCTGTAAGTGTTGGTGTCGCTGGAGCCGGACGAGTCACACTGTCTGACCACATCTCGCTCGCCCACAGGTGAACTCCGCCTGGGAAACCCTGAACAAGACATGGAAGGAGAGAGTGGAGACTCTAGAGGAAGCCATGCAGGCTGCGGTTCAGTTCCAGGACAGTCTCCAGGTTAATATCTCTCTCTCACACACACACACGCACACACGCTGTCGGAAACTTCTTGAGTCAGCACTGTCATGCTGAAAATGTTCCTAAAGGAAATCAAGTATTACATGATTGGTCACACTTTATTAGAGTGTACTTACTATAGCGTTAGGGTTTGGTTTAGAGTTAATTGCTTATAATTATGCATAATAAACTGTTAATACTATAGTGACCACATGTAACTATACCACCTTAAAATAAAGGGTAACACTTAATTTTACAGTGTCCTTGTTACATATGTTACATGTACTTACCATAATAATAATAATAAATTATGCAAAATTACATGCAACTAACCCTCGACCAAAACATATAGTAAGTACATGTACTTTAATAATATTACTCAGTGCTTACATATATAATTATACTGTAACAATGACACGTTAAAATAAAGTGCAACCAAATAAAGTGTGAGCCATGAATTAATCATGTGATGTGGTTTTTCTGTCAGCAGACAGAAACGTACAGTTATTAGTGACACCGGTGGCCGTTAAGTGAACTGTAGACAAACACACAGTTATTAGTGACACTGGTGGCCGTTAAATGAACTGCAGACAGAAACGTACAGTTATTAGTGACACCGGTGGCCGTTAAATGAACTGCAGACAGAAACGTACAGTTATTAGTGACACCGGTGGCCGTCAAGTGAACTGCAGACAGAAACGTACAGTTATTAGTGACACCGGTGGCCGTTAAATGAACTGCAGACAGAAACGTACAGTTATTAGTGACACCGGTGGCCGTTAAATGAACTGCAGACAGAAACGTACAGTTATTAGTGACACCGGTAGCCGTTAAATGAACTGCAGACAGAAACGTACAGTTATTAGTGACAGCGGTAGCCGTTAAATGAACTGCAGACAGAAACGTACAGTTATTAGTGACACCGGTGGCCGTTAAATGAACTGCAGACAGAAACGTACAGTTATTAGTGACACCGGTGGCCGTTAAATGAACTGCAGACAGAAACGTACAGTTATTAGTGACACCGGTAGCCGTTAAATGAACTGCAGACAGAAACGTACAGTTATTAGTGACACCGGTGGCCGTTAAATGAACTGCAGACAGAAACGTACAGTTATTAGTGACACCGGTGGCCGTTAAATGAACTGCAGACAGAAACGTACAGTTATTAGTGACACGGTGGCCGTTAAATGAACTGCAGACAGAAACGTACAGTTATTAGTGACACCGGTGGCCGTTAAATGAACTGCAGACAGAAACGTACAGTTATTAGTGACACCGGTGGCCGTTAAATGAACTGCAGACAGAAACGTACAGTTATTAGTGACAGCGGTAGCCGTTAAATGAACTGCAGACAGAAACGTACAGTTATTAGTGACACTGGTGGCCGTTAAATGAACTGCAGACAGAAACGTACAGTTATTAGTGACACCGGTGGCCGTTAAATGAACTGCAGACAGAAACGTACAGTTATTAGTGACACCGGTAGCCGTTAAATGAACTGCAGACAGAAACGTACAGTTATTAGTGACACCGGTGGCCGTTAAATGAACTGCAGACAGAAACGTACAGTTATTAGTGACACCGGTGGCCGTTAAATGAACTGCAGACAGAAACGTACAGTTATTAGTGACACCGGTGGCCGTTAAAATGAACTGCAGACAGAAACGTACAGTTATTAGTGACACCGGTGGCCGTTAAATGAACTGCAGACAGAAACGTACAGTTATTAGTGACACCGGTGGCCGTTAAATGAACTGCAGACAGAAACGTACAGTTATTAGTGACACCGGTGGCCGTTAAATGAACTGCAGACAGAAACGTACAGTTATTAGTGACACCGGTGGCCGTTAAATGAACTGCAGACAGAAACGTACAGTTATTAGTGACACCGGTGGCCGTTAAATGAACTGCAGACAGAAACGTACAGTTATTAGTGACACCGGTGGCCGTTAAATGAACTGCAGACAGAAACGTACAGTTATTAGTGACACCGGTGGCCGTTAAATGAACTGCAGACAGAAACGTACAGTTATTAGTGACACCGGTGGCCGTTAAATGAACTGCAGACAGAAACGTACAGTTATTAGTGACACCGGTAGCCGTTAAATGAACTGCAGACAGAAACGTACAGTTATTAGTGACACGGGTGGCCGTTAAATGAACTGCAGACAGAAACGTACAGCTATTAGTGACACCGGTGGCCGTTAAATGAACTGCAGACATAAACACACAGTTATTAGTGACACCGGTGGCCGTTAAATGAACTGCAGACAGAAACGTACAGTTATTAGTGACACCGGTGGCCGTTAAATGAACTGCAGACAGAAACGTACAGTTATTAGTGACACCGGTGGCCGTTAAGTGAACTACAGACAGAAACTTACAGTTATTAGTGACACCGGTGGCCGTTAAGTGAACTGCAGACAGAAACGTACAGTTATTAGTGACACCGGTGGCCGTTAAGTGAACTACAGACAGAAACTTACAGCTATTAGTGACACCGGTGGCCGTTAAGTGAACTGCAGACAGAAACGTACAGCTATTAGTGACACCGCTAGCCGTTAAATGAACTGCAGACAGAAACGTACAGTTATTAGTGACACCGGTGGCCGTTAAGTGAACTGCAGACAGAAACGTACAGTTATTAGTGACACCGGTGGCCGTTAAATGAACTGCAGACAGAAACGTACAGTTATTAGTGACACCGGTGGCCGTTAAATGAACTGCAGACAGAAACGTACAGCTATTAGTGACACCGGTGGCCGTTAAGTGAACTGTTCACTTAACAGTTCACTTAAAGTTTGAATGAAACCCTTTTGTTTGCATGACACTGATATTACAGCACAGAAGCTCTTTAGGCATTATCCTGAACATAAGCATTCATCATGTGTCATTGAAGGGAAGAAAGGCTTTCGGGAGCTCGTGAACATCTCTGAACTTTCCCAGTGAAACCGACCCAAGTCCTTCATATAGAAATCAGTCTTGAGGCTTTCATAGATAACTTAAAAAATTGGTGAAGCTCTCGCTGTTTTCTGTTACATTGACAAGTGATTAATACATGTCAGTTATATACGTATAGCCCTTTAAGTGTCTCTTATAAAGGAATCAAAGTGAATATTAACCAGTGGGACTTGTTGTCCCAAAACTATTGGTTTAGGTGTGACTTTTGTTCTGTGAGTGAAACTCGACTCGATGTAAAGCTCGGCTCGTGACAACAGTTTCCCCTTCTCTGCAGAACATGTTCGACTCTGTGGACATTATGGAGAGCAAACTGGATTCGATGTCGCCCGTGGGCACTGACCTGGAGACTGTGAAACAGCAGATCGAGGAGCTGAAGGTATCACGTATTGTTCGTGTGTGGGAGACGTTCTCATACCCATGACGCATTGCTTTATGTTAGTCATAGTGCATCCAGATCAAAGTTTAGAGCTATTTATCTCCAGTCCCTTTCATTTGGGATAGTTTGAAGAATATAATAGAGCGGACAGACCACACACAGCAGCTGTGTTTACACGGAGACTGTGTGTTTAAGCCTGCACAATTGAAAATGTTCAGCCGTTAATGTTTTGTAAATGGTGAACAAGTGAAGATTTCATTTGTATGCAGTTCCCTAGACCGTGTGTTATTGTAGATTGGAGGACAAAAATCAGAAAAACTCACCACAGTGAGAGTGATCTCATCATGTATTGTGTGTGTTTGTGTGTGTGAAGGAGTTCAAAGGTGACGCATACCAGCTTCAGATCGAGATGGAGAGACTGAACCATCAGGCCGGGCTCCTGCTGAAGAAGGTGTGTGAGGAAGACGACCGAACCTCCATCCTGGAGCCCATGAACGAGCTGAAGATGCTCTGGGAAAACCTGGACAAGAAGATCATCAACAGACAGGTCAGACACCGGGACGCCTCTACACTTCAGTCCCACTCTGTGTCTGTGTGTTCATGAAAACAAGGAACAGATTTGATCTGTCGGGAATGGATTGGATTGTAATTATGAAAGCAAATCATTTATTGATTAATCGTTTGATCATGGTTAATTTTAGTTTAAAGTTTAAATCAATCAGATTGTCCTTTTTATAAATAAATTTAAGCGTTTGAAGAAAAGTCATCAAATGCATGAGTAGAAAAGAATAAAAGGAAGTAAAAAAAAGGCAGGCCTGCTCATGTCCACTTAAAACTTGAATTTTTTCTTGCGATATTGTAGACATTGAAACACAAGGTACTAAACACATAGTCCAGCCCCAAATGTGCCGATGCTGTCACGTCAATCCTGTGTTTCACTACACTACACACTCATGCTGTTGTGTGTGTGTGTGATCTGTCGTAGCACAAGCTGGAGGGCGCGCTGTTGGCTCTCGGGCAGTTCCAGCACGCTCTGGATGAACTTCTGGCTTGGCTCACACACACCGAAGATCTGCTCGGGGAACAGAAGAAGAGCTGTGGCGACCCCAAAGCCATCGAGATCGAGCTCGCAAAACACCACGTACGTCCCGACTAAACAACTCGCCACTTTCTAAACGTCATCTGTTAACAAACTAGTATTCATTACTTACATTATTACATTGTTTAAATGAATACCCTTTTCGCTAACTGTGTGGTTATGTACATTTAAAGGAGTAGTTCACTTTAAAAAAAAAAACTTTTGCTGATAATTTACTCACCCCCATGTCATCCAAGATGTCCATGTCTTTCTTTCTTCAGTCGAAAAGAAATTAAGGATTTTCTCCATATAATGGACTTCAATGGGAACCAAACGGTTCAAGGTCCAAAAGACAGTTTCAGTGCAAACTGTTCAAAGGGCTTTAAACGATTCCAGACGATGAATAAGAGTCTTATCAAGCGAAACGATCGCTCATTTAATAAATAAATGGCAAAGTTTAACTTTTATAAGCTCTCCTGTTCGAACTCGTTCATCAAAATGAACGAATCTTTTTCTGAGTCAATTGGTTCATTCAACGAAAGTATGAAAATGAATGAATCTTTTTCCGAGTCCTTTCGTTCGTTGGATGAACAAAATGACTCGTAAAAAAGATTCGTTCATTTTGATGAACAGGAGAGTCACGAACGCGCATCACAGAACAGAGCAAGGTGAGCATTTGAGCTTATAAAACTTAAACTTTGTTATTTATTTATTAAATGAGCGATCGTTTCGCTTGATAAGACCCTTATTCATCGTCTGGAGTCGTTTAAAGCCCTTTGAACAGTTTGCACTGAAACTGTCTTTTGGACCTTGAACCGTTTGGTTCCCATTGAAGTCCATTATATGGAGAAAAATCCTGGAATGTTTTCATCAAAAACCTTAATTTCTTTTTGACTGAAGAAAGAAAGACGTGGACATCTTGGATGACATGGGGGTGATGACAAGTGCACTACTCCTTTAACACTCTCTAAATTGTAACATGGACTTCTGTAAAGCTGCTTTGAAATGATGTGTGTAAAGCACTATACAAATAAATGTAAATTGATAAACAATAAGCATAGTGGATCTCACGATTTGTCGTGTGTTTGCGTTCTCCAGGTGTTGCAGAATGACGTGCTGGCCCATAAGACCACGGTGGAGGCTGTGAACACGGCGGGCCGGGAGCTGGTGGACTCCAGCGCTGGAGAGGAGGCCCGTGGACTTCAGATCAAGCTGGAGAACCTCAACCAGCGCTGGAAGACTGTCCTGGAGAAGACGGAGCAGAGATGGCAGCTTCTGGACAGCGCTTTACTGCAGGTCAGGAGAGAACACCAGCCGGGCCTCTCACAGGCACAGCGCTTCCTAAAATGGAGATATGATTGATGATGTTCTCAACATGAGGCCAAAAATGCCCTCACTTAATCTTAAAGAATGTGAAAGAGAAGCCGTAAAGAGTTCGATGTCCACATGCTCTCAGTCTAAGAGTTTGCTTTAATGTGTGAACGCCTGAACGTCCAAAAAACTAAAATACAAAGAACATAAAGTTCCTAATTTTGACTTAAAGGAGTAGTTCACTTTAAAAAAAACTTTTTCTGATAATTTACTCGCCCCCATGTCATCCAAGATGTCCATGTCTTTCTTTCTTCAGTCGAAAAGAAATTAAGGTTTTTGATGAAAACATTCCAGGATTTTCTCCATATAATGGACTTCAATGGGAACCAAACGGTTCAAGGTCCAAAAGACAGTTTCAGTGCAAACTGTTCAAAGGGCTTTAAACGATTCCAGACGATGAATAAGGGTCATTTGGTTCATTAATCGAACGAAATGAACGAATTGACTCGGAAAAAGATTCGTTCATTTTGATGAACGAGTTCGAACGAGTCACGAACAAGCTTATAAAACTTATTTTTTTTATTTTATTTATTTATTAAATGAGCGATCGTTTCGCTTGATAAGACCCTTATTCATCGTCTGGAATCGTTTAAAGCCCTTTGAACAGTTTGCACTGAAACTCTCATTTGGACCTTGAACCGTTTGCTTCCCATTAAAGTCCATTATATGGATCTATCCATCTTGGATGTCATGGGGGTGAGTAAATTATCAGCAGAACTTTTTTTTTTAAAGAGAACTACTCTACTACTACTAATAATAATTAATAATAACTAAATGGCAACTAAGTTTGTTTTGTTTTAATTAGCCCGGTCAATTGATACAGTAAGTTAGGTGTGATTAATTAAAGTTTTGAATATGTTTTTATATTGTAATGATTCATGTAGAAACCACAAAAAGACAGTAGCCTATATGTTAGATATTGTGCATCTTTATTTAACTGTGCTTGCAAGGATTCTCGACAAAACAGGCATGTTGGCATAGTTGTGTGTGTTTTTGTCCGTTTAAGCTGTGTGTGTCACAGATGGGTGCTAGTACCGCACTGCGTTCTCTGTTATGTTTTATCGCGTGTGAATTGCATGAATAAGAGTGTGATCATACAGTATAATGTAACGCTTGCCAACAGGGCAAATCGAACAAATGAATCGCATGTTTAACACGTTAAAGGGAGACTCCACCCAAAAATGAAAATTCTGTCATCATTTACTCTCCCTCAAGTTGTTGCAAACCTGTATGAGTTTCTAACGTCTGCTGAACAAAAAGGAGGATATTTTGAAGAACGAGTGGAACAAACAGTTGTTTGGCATCATTGACTTCCATTGTAGAAGAAACAAAAAATACTATGAAAGTCATTGGTGCCAAAGTTCCTCTCGTTCTTCAAAATATCTTGCTTTATTGATTTTTATTAGGGCTGTCAAACGATTAATCGCGATTAATCGCATCCAAAATAAAAGTTTGTGTTTACATAATATCTGTGGGTGCACTGTGTATAATTATATATATAAATACACACACATGCTTGTATATATTTAAGAAATATTTTCATGTATATACTGTATATAGATTTATACATAATTTATATTATATATAAATATTTTATATATAAATAATATTTTTTTCTTAAATATACAAGCATGTTTGTGTGTTTATATATATAAAATAATTATACACAGTGCACCCACAGATATTATGTAAACACAAACTTTTATTTTGGATGCGATTAATCGTTTGACAGCCCAAATTTTTATGTATTTATTTTAGGGCTGTGCAAAAATTAATTGCGATTAATCGCATCCAAAATAAAAGTCTGTGTTTACATAATATATTTGTGTGTGCTGTATATAATTATTTTGTATATATAAATACCTATGCATGCATGTATATATTTAAGAATTATTTGCGCTTAAATTCTGTATTTATATATAAATACATCATCTATATTATATAAATATTTTGTATGAATAACACATTTTCTTAAATATATACATGCATGTATGTCTGTATTTATATATACAAAATAATTATATACAGCACACACAAATATATTATGTAAACACAGACTTTTATTTTATTTTTGCACAGCCCTAATTTATTTATTTCAAGGATAGCCCCTTGAGATGAACCATCTCATTTCGAAGGGGTCACTTCTTTACAACAAACAGGATCATAATAGAAATTCATAGATAAATTAAATACAACACTGGACTATTACAAACATTTAGATACATTTCATTCTCATTCATAAACACACACACACACACACACACACTCAAAAACAGGTCAATAAACCATCTGCGAAAAATAGAAATACACAATCAAGATGCTTACGAACATCATAAACCCATAGAGATCTCTAAATAGAATAAAAAAGGAAGCAAAAACAAGAACATAATGTTTAAAGATAAGTAAAAAGTGATGATTTAAAAACATAAAAAGAGGTTATAGATGTGAGCGAGCAGGGTTCAGCAGAAAGAAACTCACACAGGTTGAGGGAGAGTAAATCCCTTTAATTTTGACAATGAATTGCAAAAAAAAAAAAAATTGTTTTGCTTACAATGTATATTTTTGCACTCCTGCTTCATAGATTTCAACCCAAAACATGTATTGTGTTGAGTCTTTCTCTCCAGACACCATTGTTCTGGTTGCAGGATTCCTACGAACTGGCCATGTTTAAGGCTAAAAATCTGCGCTCGTCAATCTTCGGGTGATGAGTGTGTGAACTCTATTGTTGTGACGCTGGCTGATCTGCTTTCTAGGCTCAAGGTTTCCACGGTGAGATTGAAGACGTGCAGCAGTGGCTGAAAGTCACGGAGCGTCAGCTGTTAGCCTCCAAAGCCCTGGGCGGATTACCAGACACGGCCCGAGAGCAGCTACACACACATCTGGTACGAGTTTAACACATCTGCACACGCAGGGCAAGCTTGGACTCAGCGTTTCTTTTACAATTCATAGATATATGCATTTGTTATTGAAAACAGTTTGCTATTAGAGAATGTTTATCATAAACACCTTGTTTAGAGGAATCATTCTCCCAAAATTGAACATTTACTAAAGCTCATGACAACACAAACCAACATGACTTAAAGGAGTAGTTCACTTTTTAGAAAAACCTCTTGCTGATAATTTACTCGCCCCCATGTCATCTAAGATGTCCATGTCTTTCTTTCTTCAGTCGAAAAGAAATTAAGGTTTTTGATGAAAACATTCCAGGATTTTCTCCATATAATGGACTTCAATGGGAACAAAACGATTCAAAAGACGGTTTCAGTGCAAACTGACTTTAAACGACTCCAGACGATGAATAAGGGTCTTATCAAGCGAAACGATCGCTCATTTAATAAATAAATAACAAAGTTTAAGTTTTATAAGCTCAAATGCTCGCCTTGCTCTGTTCTGTGATGCGCATTCGTGACTCTCCTGTCCGAATCTTTTTCCGAGTCAATTCGTTTGTTTTGTTCGTTGAATGAATCAAATGACTCGGAAAAAGATTTGTTCATTTTGATGAAAATGGCCGCTCGTTTCGCTTGATAAGTTTGCACTGAAACTGTCTTTTGGACCTTGAACCGTTTGGTTCCCATTGAAGTCCATTATATGGAGAAAATCCTGGAATGTTTTCATCAAAAACCTTAATTTCTTTTCGACTGAAGAAAGAAAGACGTGGACATCTTGGATGACATGGGGGCGAGTAAATTATCAGCAGAAGTTTCTTTAATGCACAGAAGCATATAGTGAGCAAAATTGAGCTCTAACAATAACAAAAGCAATATATGAATATTGAAATATAGAGTGTGAGTTTTCTGAAATACACTTATGGAAAAGAACAGCTAGGAGATTATAACAAAAAAAAAGTCTTAAACAGTTTTAATCTAACACGGGGATGATTTAAGGGTATTTCTGCTGAAATATAAAGAATATATGTATAGTACGCTCTTTGAATAGTAAACGTGTGTGTGTGTGTGTGTGTGTAGGAGCTCTGCAGTGCAATGGAAGTGAAGGAGGAAATATACAAGCAACTTCTTGAGCGAGGGCAGCAGATTTTGGCCTTGACCCCTGAGGGTCAGGACAGCACCACTGAACTGGACCTACGCAACCTGCAGGACAAGTGGGAGTGTGTTCAGGCCAAAGTGATGGAGAGGAAGGTGAGGACGCTCTGATTTACTCACTGTGTTCTTCCTGTCAGTTTGACTCATCTTCATCATCATCATCATCAGTGGGGCGTAGCTGTGATATCAGATCATAAATCAGTGGAGAACAAAGTCAAGTTTTCTGTGGTCTGAAAGTAAAGGTGGAAAAAGCGAATAGATGAGCTAAAAACACAAATTCTGTCATCGTTTGCTCACCCTTGTCGTTGTTCCAAACCTGTATGATTTGTTTTTTGGCTTCTGTGCCACACAAAAGTGTTAAAGAATATTCACTCTTTTCCACACAGTAAAGGCATATGTTATAAAACAGACCAAAAACACCATAAACACAGATTTAAAAAAAGTAAGGTACAGTAAAAATAAGACTTATAACACACAGCCGAGTAAATGCTAAATCATATAGCAAGGGTGAGTAAGTGATGAGCACATGTTTAGTTTTTGAGGGTACTATTTCTCAAAGTTCAAAATTAGCATATATTTAATAGAAAACAAAAGGCTTCTGAAATATCCGAATCAGATGTGGCTGTTGGCTGATTAATGTAAGTTTGATTTGGGTCAGGGATTGGCACAGACGTCTGTTTACATCAGGACTTTGACCACCACACAAGTTCTTGTCGTGAAGTCATCCTTCCAGCAGAATACATCCTGACATGTGATGCTAACCAGACATCGCTTTACACTCGCTGAGTCACATGCTGTTGGTGTTGATGACATCACTGCAGTTCCTGTCTCAGATCCTGCTCCGCCTATCAGTGCCACGATGGAGGGAAATGCTCCAATAGTTAACATCATATTTCACAACATTTCAAGAAGTGTCTTCCTCTATTGGCAAACAAGGGTTAATGTCAGGCCGCTTAACCCTCTGGGGTTGTTCGTTTCAGAGTCACACTCGGGGTGTTCGGATCCAAATGGACTCAAAGGGCGGGATTCATATTTAAAAATAAAATCATGATTTTTTTTTTTACTCGTTTTTCTAATATTTTTTCTTTTCTTTTTTTGGTGTTTTGAGAAAATTTCAAAAAAAAAAAAAAATTATAATTAGTATTAATGCAATAATTATGACAAAATTTCCCCCATTGTACATAATAGAAAAATATTTAAAAAAAATATTTTTTTTTTATTTTTTTTTAAAGCTGTATTTCATTTTAGAGTCAAGCCTAGGCCTCATAAAAGCAATTTTTAAAATGAGATGGATGCCATCTGGTGGACAAACTGAGCATTTTAAAAATGCAAAACACATGTATAATCTGTGTGTGATTGCCCATAGGTGAAACTGGAGGAAGCTCTGGCGATGGCCACAGACTTCCATAACTCGCTGCAGGATTTCATCAACTGGCTGACCCAGGCCGAACAGACGCTCACTATGATATCTCCCGCCTCTCTCATCCTGGAGACCATCCTGTTCCAGATAGACGAGCATAAGGTCGGCGCTCTCCGACACATTACACTTCATGTCAACACACACTTCTATTTTATAAATGCGTATGCATATGTTTCATTTAAATATATTTTAACCTTGGGATTTTAAATAGAAATGTGAAATGACAGACTTCTCTTTCTCTCTGATGACGAATGCAGGACTCTGTAAGGTTTTAGGGCCCATTTTCAACAAAAAATTGACTTTTTATAAATTTTGGACGTTTATTTACACGACATCTGTATTTTCGGGGCCTTAGAACAAAATCTTTCAAAGTGCACGGTGTGTCGTAAACAGAGATGTGTGAAGTACTAGAAACCCGGACTTGAGTAAAAGTACAAGTGCTCTATCGAAAAAGTGACTTGAGTAGAAGTTGAAGTGCTCTTTAAGCACCACGCCAAAAAAATGTCATTGCATTAGTTTTTCAATGTGTGTGTCAATCAAAACCATTACCCTATACAACTGGCGTGTGATTTAGGCAGCATGAAAGCCAACTTGCAACGAATGATTCGTAATTTTTTTTATAATTGTAACGAGTAACTAGCAGAACATTAAAAAAATATCGAAGTAAAAGAATTAAATTCATCGAAAATATCAACTGAAGTAAAAGTAGAAGTATACAGATACAGCATTTTAGTACTTAAGTAGTTCTACTTTGTTACTATACATCTTGCATTTTACGTAGTGTTTCTTTATGAAGTGACATCGCCAACTACTTTATACGATTATACCGATTTCTGCAGATCCGTAGGAATCTCGTCTGTGAGCGGAAAGCACAACAAAGTACATCATAGTCGTGTAATCATACCCTTAGTGTGCTCAAACTCCGCCCATCATGCTCATCTGTTACACGCTGAGGCCACACCCACATATCAAAATCCAATCAAAAACCGCTGCACTTACGCCTTTTTATACGTTAAACAGATGTACAAGTTTTTATACGTTAAACAGATGTACATCATGGGCCAGTTGTTCAAAGGTAAGCTGATCAGATTTTGGTTATCGGATTGGATCAAATCTTGAAAATGGGTTGTTTAAAAGGGAAAGAAGGAATCTGAAATCAGATTAGATCAGAGAATCCAATCCTAGTTTTAATCTGGATCAAACCTTCAGTTTGTGTTGTTCAAAACTTGTCAGTGGGATAATATCCCGGTTTTTAAAATCCAGGATATGAGCACATTCGGGTTTTTGCCGGTGTTTAGATGGCTGTTCGTGACCGGGTTATTTATTGCTAATATCCTGGTTTTGAATGAGTTATTGGCTAGATGTAAACGTAGTCATTGTGACTCATCAGCCAGTTGATAGAAATAGTCAGTTTCTTTAACTGGATCTGCTGTATTTCTGCAGGTGTTTGTGATTGAGGTGAACTCTCATCGGGATCAAATCATCGAGCTGGATAAGACCGGGACACACCTGAAGTACTTCAGTCAGAAACAAGATGTGGTGTTGATCAAGAACCTCCTGCTGAGCGTTCAGGGCCGCTGGGAGAAGGTGGTTCAGCGCTCGGTGGAGAGAGGACGCCAGCTGGACGACGCCAGGAAACGGGCCAAGCAGGTGCGCCGAACTCGAGCATGCGGTCACTGGAGGCGAGCGTGAATCACAGTCCACTTAATGGGACTTTTTGTTTTCCGCTGATCATCAAAGCGAGACTCTTTAAAGGAGTAGTTCACTTTTCAAAAAACGTTTGCTGATAATTTACTCGCCCCCATGTCATCCAAGATGTCCATGACTTTCTTTCTTCAGTCGAAAAGAAATAAAGGTTTTTGATGAAAACATTCTAGGATTTTCTCCATATTATGGACTTCAATGGGAACCAAACGGTTCAAGGTCCAAAAGACAGTTTCAGTGCAAACTGTTCAAAGGGCTTTAAACGATTCCAGACGATGAATAAGGGTCTTATCAAGCGAAACGATCAACCATTTTCATCAAAATGAACAAATCTTTTTCCGAGTCATTTGATTCATTAAACGAACAAAACAAACGAATTGACTCGGAAAAAGATTCGAACAGGAGAGTCACAAACAGAGCAAGGCGAGCATTTGAGCTTATAAAACTTAAACTTGGTTATTTATTTATTAAATGAGCGATCGTTTCGCTTGATAAGACCCTTATTCATCGTCTGGAATCGTTTAAAGCCCTTTGAACAGTTTGCACTGAAACTGTCTTTTGGACCTTGAATCATTTGGACCCCATTGAAGTCCATTATATGGAGAAAATCCTGGAATGTTTTCATCAAAAACCTTCATTTCTTTTCGACTGAAGAAAGAAAGACATGGACATCTTGGACGACATGGGGGCGAGTAAATTATCAGCAAAAGTTTTTCTAAAAGTAAACTACTCCTTTAATACAACACACCTAAATCGTCACTGGTGCAGATAATGGCAGTGATCCCTCATGCTATGGGATTCAGATGGTGAAAGGTGAGGGTATAGGATGAAATACATGTAGGAAGACACCGGGAAATCCCTGCATTGTCCATGTAAGACATGCAACAATAGAGCCAGAGCTTTACAGGAATGGCTTTCTAAAAAATGCTGTTGATGTCCCGGAGTAGCCACGTCAAAGTCCAGATCTCAGTCCAATTGAGAATTTATGAAGGGACTCACTCTCGCAAACAAGAACGAGGAACACTGCAGTGGCCACTGAAAAAGTCCTACAGTATTAACACACACTTCTGGAAGGCACATCTAATTAAAAAAATGTCCTGGGGCGAGGGGGTGAATATATATGCAAACAACTGTAATTGATTCTGAGCAAACTTGTTGGACATGAAATAATATTTTGTTGTTTAGAATGAAAAAAAGCCAAATGAAATCCTCTGTGGTTCAGTGCCGTAAAGCAACTGTATCACTCTAAAAACAATGCTGGGTTGTTTGAGCCCAAATGTTGGGTTAAAAATGCAAGTACAGTTAAAAGTGGAAGTTGAAATTGGGTTAAAATTGGAAATTAAATTTTTAACCCAACTTCAACTTCCACTTTCCACTGTACTTGCATTTTTAACCCAACATTTGGGTTTGTCCATATTTGACCCAAATTTGGGCTCAAACAACCCAACATTTATAGGCTGGGAAAAGAAAAAGCTGTGATATACGGCTAACCACACAAATGGATGATCGCCCTCTTGCCTTTTGCAGTTCCACGAGACCTGGAACAAACTGATGGAGTGGCTGGACGAGTCCGAGAGGTCGCTGGATTCTGAGTTGGAGATCGCCAATGATCCAGACAGGATCAAGACACAGTTGACCCAGCACAAGGTGACTGGCCCAGTCCATTACCCAGTGTTCACTCCAGTGCATTACCATTTCCACCTCAACTAGTCTAGCCAACTAGCATCAGATTCAGATCTATGTTTTTAACTGACTTAAAATGTATGACTAGTCTTAAAAAGACTTTAAGTTTGTAAGTAAGACTGGACTAAGCTGCTAGTAAAGGGTTAGTTCATCCAAAAATGAAATGCTGTCATCATTTACTCACCCTCAAACGGAGATATTTGACTGAAATCTGAGAGATTTTCAGATCATAGTTTATATATGAATAAAATCTGCTCTGCGTATAAAGTGACCGTTGAGAAGACTTGAGTGTTGAAGCGTCAGAGTGTTTGGGTGAATAGACTTACAATGGAGGGACAGAAATCTCTTCATTTGTGTTTAGAAAGTCTTGTGGGTTTGGAACGACATGAGATTGAGTAAATGATGACAGAATTTTCTTTTTTTGGTGAACTTAACCCTTTAACCCCCTGGGGTCCACGGTATTGCCGGTGATACCAGCTCACAAACCACGCATAAACGTCATTATCTCAAAACTACTAAATTTTACATACATGCTGCTGACATATTATTGAAGCAGAGTTTGTGCTGAATACAGTGTAATAATACGTTAGCCATGAAAATGTCACAAGTAACAGAAAAAAGCACAAATGACAGAGAAAGCTTTCTGATTTAATATTATCTTGTCACACTCGACATCGCTTCCATGGGAGCAAACGTTAAATGAACGGACCCATTTTATGGAAGGGAATCAAATAAAACCTGTTTTTACACCCATGTTTAGCGCTGGCCGCTTGTGCTTCAGTCACAAAAACAGAAAATGGATATTAATGCCAGGTGTGAAGGGGGTCATATAGACTTCCTGTTCACACCATTAGCTGCTCTGTTTGTGTGTGTGTGTGTGTGTGTGTGTGGAGCGTCTGACGTGCTGGTGAACGGAGTGTGTGAATCACAATACCAGGTGTGTTTCCCTCACTGAATGTGGGTTATAAGTGTCATCCTGTTATGCTTCGTATAATTCGTTTGGAAATAACCGTGATATTTTACATGATATTTTTAGAGGTTTAACCCTTTACCTTGTCACCTGCCTGTATACGGGCAACCTAAATTCACTTCACTATATTAGTATAAAATCCTAATCTAGTCACGACAAACTATATATCGTTGGAAAGGTCTAAGACGGCTAAATAGATATTTGACTGCTGGTTTTTTTGGTATATTTTAGTAGTTACCATAAATTTGGTTTCATTTGAAAGCTTATAAACTCAGAATTCATCCTGTGAAAACCGTTTCATAATAGAACGTTGCGTTACCATAGAAACTGTACTCTAAATTATTTTATCAGGCTCCGCCCCTTTTGGGCATCATATTTCATAATTTATGATCAAAACCTTTTCTAATTTTGACAAAACTTAAGTACTGTGTCTCAAGGTTCCAGATTTTGTGACAGAAGTGATATTTGAACAGAAATGTATTAATTTGTTAAGGCAGAATGTATACAACTAAATTAAATGAAATTCAATGGCACCCAGTGGCTATTTTTGGTACTGTGCCTAAACAAAATCTCATGGGAACTTCAACTTGTGTGATATCAACTTCAAATTTGGAACATAACTTGGTTAGATTTATGGCTTTGATTTTATAGTAATTTTAGAGTAAAAAATATTTTATAAAATATGTATTTTTGTATAAAAAAAAAATATATAGTACAGTATATTTGATTCACCCTAAATTTAAACTTACATAACTTTTTCCTACTTTCATTTTTTGAAGTGTTTTCACTTCAGCAAGAATCTGCTGAGTGTTTCCTTTAAAACAAGACCAAACTTGGCATTCTTGAATTACAACCATTTAAGTTCGAATAGTGCATTTTAACCCCCATTTTTTAAAAGGGGGGAGACAGGAAACGGGTTAAAGAGGTCCACAACACCGAATAATCGAAGTAAATGCACTGAGCATGTTTGATGTTTAAAGCAGGACACGAGTGGGCGGAGGAGTGTGTGTAATTAACAGCTCAGCAGTGCCTCAGACGTTCAGATGAGTCAGTCACACCGATGACCTCAGGCGTCCCGGAAGGCCTCGCGGGGTGACGTGTGCCCTTGAGCTGCATGTGGATGACCTCACACCTGTGTTTGTCTTGTGTAGGACTTCCAGAAAGCACTGGGCAGCAAACATTCAGTATACGACACCACCAGTCGCACGGGCCGAGCTTTGAAGGACAAGACTTCCTTGAAAGATGACAACCAGAAACTGGACGACATGCTCAGTGAGCTCAGGGACAAATGGGACACAGTCTGCGGGAAATCTGTGGAGAGGTACATACGTTTATCCCCTGTCCTCTTTTAAAAAGCCTATACAGTCTTGATGTTGTCTTTGGTTGATTATTCTCCTCATATTCTCCATTGTTTTGCGTCTGTCAGTAACGCTCTGTTCACTTCCTGTCTCTATGAAGCCCCTCCTTCTGAAAAGCACACTGTGCTCTGATTGGTCGGCTGGAGCAGTGTGTTGTGATTGGTCGAGCGCTTTGAGTGTGTTTGGGAAATGTCCCGCCCCTTTCCATAACTGCCAGTTTAACACGCTACTGACTAACTCAACCAGGCCCCGCCCCTTTATTCTGCGCATTAATTATTATAATGAGGAATATTGTGACGTGTTCGAAACACTGACACTCAGAGATTCTTCATACTCAAACAGCAACATCACACACTAAAGAGAGACGAGCATGGAGAAAAGCACAATAGGTCCATCCATTAATAAATGGGTGTTGCAATATCAAAATTAAGCCTGTTTTGGAATCATGACAATGAACTACATTTTGTGTTACTATATTTGTAATTTAGTTATTCTCTGTCATATCAAAGTGCCGTTTTAGTGAAATGGACACAAAAGTTAAAGGTGACAGTAAAATGCATATTTTTCTTTCTGCATTTCAGTTGAAGTGTAAATTCTGAATGTTTTCGAGTAATCAGTACAGACTGAAGTGACCCCGTATGGGCTGTGTTGTGTGCAGGCAGAACAAGCTTGAGGAGGCTCTGCTGTTCTCAGGTCAGTTCACAGACGCGCTGCAGGCCCTCATCGACTGGCTGTATCGAGTGGAACCACAGCTAGCAGAAGACCAGCCGGTTCACGGGGACATAGACCTCGTCCTGAACCTCATCGACAGCCATAAGGTACTTTACACTGATTTACACAACATGGGATATTAAGGAATGAAGTAATAATTCAATCAAGTTGATACAAAGACCTAACATGATTATACGTATTATTATATGATTGTTTTCGCTGTCCTTGACTGTGGGTGGTACCACAGGTGGAACGCTTGCCATTATATTTTTAAAACAATAATATCTTAGAAAAGACCTTAAATAATACTGACAATCTATATATCATTTGAAAGCTTACAATCTCTAGTTTCCATATTGATTTTCAAAATAAATTACTGAGGAGCCATAATTGATCAATTTGCAACAAGAATATTTTCATGCTCATAAAGCGTGTTCAGACCTTTATTTTGAGATAGCAATGAACATGAAAAATCATGAAAAAAAGGTAGAAACCTCAGTTTGTTTTCATGCCAAGAGTTCAAAAGATTGCATCCATTCAGTTATTTTAGAAAAAAAGGTCTGAAAATGTTTTAAATATTACGAAAAAATAATAAATTCACCATTTGTGATGTGGCAGGAAGCTATAACGCACATGCGTGTTCTTTGTATGTGTTTCTTAGAGGTTGAATTCATATCAAAATCTGCCAAACTCCCCATACTACTTCTGAATAGGATCTCTACTTCATAAATTGTATGAAAAATGATGGTTAATATCACTCAAACCACACATGGAAATGGAGGCGCCCTTATATGGGCAGTAATGGTCTGGTTGTGCCCTAGTGGAAGCGTTCGGTACTGCGCCCAAACAAAATCTCACAGAAAGCTCATTTTTTGAGATATCAACCTAGAATTTTAAACACAACCTTTTTTAGCTTTGTATATTCTGCAGTTTTAGAGTAGCCCAGGTTTTGAAAATATATATTTTATGTAAAATATGAATAATTAATATTTTTACATTGTACAAACATCTATAACTTTCACTTTGTTAATTTATTTCACTTTGACAAAATGTCTTCTTTAAAACAAGACCAATCATATGTCTATATTCCAAAGCATTCTGTGCATTTTTCAAGCATTGAGCAACTTTCTCAAAATATCAGTCCCTGTGTTTTCAGCCTGTTGGTTCTGTATTTGGAGTTTATGGCAAGAATAAAATATAATTATGCTGTAGTTTGATCAGAGGGAGAGTGATATGACAGAACGCACTGGTTTCCATTAGGGGTGAGGGAGTCCTGGCGAGTCCAAACTCAATCACATGTTTAGATGAGAGCACACTGGAGCTGATGACCTCATTCATGATCATAATGTGAGCTTCGGTCACCAGCGGTCTTTGACTATGTTTGGTGCTGTTAACGCCGGATTTCTGTCGATGCAATCTAGAGCTGAACTCAATCCAGCTTTTTGACAACATTCTCTAAATATCTCAACATTTATGTAGTTTTGAGACACGGACGGATCCCCTAAGTGATCCATATTTCTCACACCACATCGTAAAAAACACAGAGCCAACATATTCATTTCTTTTGTAATGGCCGATGCTGATTGGAAGTCATGGCGTGACTGCTGTTGCGTGCTAATGTCCTAAAGTCTGCCTGGAAAAATTTGAGTCACGCATTGAACACAAAACTGGAGCAGAACAGTGACCGGATCTTGACACACAGCTCATATCTCCATGTCTGTAATATATAAACACACACAGTATATACACTAGAATGCGGTTGTCGGTCCTGAATATAACTGTGGTGTGTGTGAAAGCTGTGTGGTGATGTGATCAAACGTGTGTCCCGTGACCTGCAGGTGTTCCAGAAAGAGTTGGGCAAGAGGACCGGCAGCGTGCAGGCCTTGAAGCGTTCGGCCCGAGAGCTGATCGAGAACACACACGATGACTCTTCCTGGGTCAAAGTTCAGATGCAAGAGCTGAGCACTCGCTGGGAGACGGTGTGTAGCCTCTCTGTGTCCAAACAGACTCGGCTGGAGCAGGCGCTGTGTCAGGTACGGCCAGATCACACACACATCAGTCTTCATGACCCTTCAATGTATATTGTCTGTAAATGTCTTTTAAAGTCCCCCTGTGGTGAAAATACAGCTTTTAAAGTTGTTTATGTGTCTTTGTGGTGTGTTTAATACGCTTTAAGACAAACCATGTGTAACTTCATAAATCAGCACCATCGCTGAGTATCTTCTCCTTAAAACTGCAGTGAACCAAAGACATACTGTTCCTTTATATGTGAAACTGATATCAGGGAAATTTAAATGCTGATTACCAGGCATGGGAAAACAATCGGTCACACTTTAGATTAGATTAGGGTCCAAATCACTGTTAACTACAACTTTTGCCTCAAACTCCTAATGACTGCTATTAATAGCTAAAGGAGTAGTTCATTTTAAAAAACCTTTTGCTGATAATTTACTCGCCCCCATGTCATCCAAGATGTCCACGTCTTTCTTTCTTCGGTCGAAAAGAAATTAAGGTTTTTGATGAAAACATTCCAGGATTTTCTCCATATAATGGACTTCAATGGGAACCAAACGGTTCAAGGTCCTAAAGACAGTTTCAGTGCAAACTGTTCAAAGGGCTTTAAACGATTCCAGACGATGAATAAGGGTCTTATCAAGCGAAACGATCGCTCATTTAATAAATAAATAACAAAGTTTAAGTTTTATAAGCTCAAATGCTCGCCTTCTGTTCTGTGATGCGCGTTCGTGACTCTCCTGTTCGAACTCGTTCATCAAAATGAATGAATCTTTTTTCGTGTCATTTGGTTGATTCAACGAACGAAATGAACGAGTTGACTCGGGAAAAGATTTCTTCATTTTGATGAACGAGGAGTCGTTCATCGCCTGGAGTCGTTTAAAGCCCTTTGAACAGTTTGCACTGAAACTGTCTTTTGGTCCTTGAACCGTTTGGTTCCCATTGAAGTCCATTATATGGAGAAAAATCCTGGAATGTTTTCGTCAAAAACCTTAATTTCTTTTCGACTGAAGAAAGAAAGACATGGACATCTTGGATGACATGGGGGCGAGTAAATTATCATTGAACTACTCCTGTAAGTTTTGGGTGGATTGAGGGATGTAGAATATGATTATGTAGAATAAGGCATTGATATATGTGCTTTATAAGTACTAAAAAAACAGTGGATATTCTAGAAATATGCATGCTGATAAAAGCAACGAGCTTAAAATGACCAATATGTTTGATTTTTGATTTTTAAACAATAACTATTGGCACCTAGAATCAGTTGTCTGTCCTGTGTTCCTCAGGCTGAGGAGTTTCACTCCACCGTTCATATCTTACTGGAGTGGCTCGCAGAAGCGGAGCAGAGTCTTCGGTTTCACGGTGCGCTGCCGGACGATGAGGAAGCCCTCCGCGCGCTCATCCAGCAGCACAAGGCACGTTTCCCACAAACCATTTAACCAGGGTGATGTTTACCTCTCAAAAACCTCAATGGCATTAGGATATCAGCATTTACTGGCAACAGTACACACAAAACACACACTACAGAGCGTTTGCCAGAGGGATCATAATCTTTCTGTGTCTGTGTTTTCCACAACTTTGACATTCTTCTTTTATTAGCTCTAATAATGTGAAGCCAGGTTCATTTTGACAGTCTCTCTCCGTAACAAAAGCCATACATGGCTTCAAATCTTTATTAACTTTGCTTGCCAGGAAAGAGTTCAACCCTTATTCCCTTGTAGTGTGATCTCATATTCACAACCGAGACATTATTCATGTCCAAAGTGGAGGAAGCACACGTCCTGGGTGATGATGATGATGATGACGATGATGATGGGCTTTAAAACCATCAGTTGCTAACAAACTGTGCTTGATGCCAACATTTGACTAAATATTCACAGATTTTGATAGTAACTTTTTTTAAATAACAAGTAAATCAATATCTGATAAAATAATCGTAATATTTAATTTAATGTTTATTTATTTCATTTGGTGAGTAGCCGTGTAATAAGCAGAATAATAATATACAGTCATTAGAGCCAAACCAATATATCGGTAGGCTGATATTATCGGCCGATATTAGGCATTTTCCAAACTATCGGTATCGGCAGTTATAATGACCGATAAATGAATATTTCAAAAAAAATTTTTAAGTTGTATAGTTTGTCCACCAGAGGGCACTCTACACCGTCCCTGTTGGCAACACTCGTTTATTACGTGTAACACATTCTAGCTAACCACAAAGCTAGCTAATGCCACTATCATCAGTGGAATTTAATGAACTTTGTTAATTAATTAATGAGCTTTGGTTCCTCCTCTGTTCTGTTGCGACAGTAAAAGAAACAAGTTTCTTTTTAAAATGCATTATCATATTATTTTAATTATAACATCATACATAACTACAAATAACTAATGTTAGGGAAATCTGTTAATGTTTTGGTGTGCGTTCCTGAAAAAAATAAAATAAAAAATATCGGCCGATATATCGGAGTATCGGATTTTAAAACCAACAAATATTTCTATTGGTATCGGCCTTCAAAATCCTTTATCGGTCGGGCTCTAACAGTCATTAAAATGATCTCCTCTCGGTCTATTTTGACTGGGGTTTATAATAGCTTTACATTAGCCGTAACTTTTTGTTTTGTTTTGTTTTATTGACAAATACGATTGAATTTCCCATATGCATCACTTGCAGTCTAGACAGTTTTGTTGAATTATGTCATTAGATTATAATGAAAGCACAAGTTCATTGTGGATAACGTCTGAACTTGGACTGATCATGGCGAGCAAGAACAACATTGGTCCTGAGGAATCGTTCATGCCCTCAGATTGTGAAGGGCTTCTCTGTGTGGAACCATGACCACTTACTAATGCAATATCTTCTGATTCATGCAGGACTTTATGAAGAATCTGGAAGAGAAGAGACTGGGCCTGAATAAAGCCACCAGTTTGGGAGAGGCGATCCTGTCCATCTGCCACCCAGACTCCATCACCACCATCAAACACTGGAACACCATCATTAAAGCGCGCTTTGAGGAGGTCGGTCTATCTCTACTAGTTTCAGATACGTTTGATGAGAACACTTTGTCCACATGAGCGTTTACACTAGGAAAGCAATCCGGTCGAAAGCGTTTTCCACTCCTTCTGGAAGTATTTCTCAGCCAAAACACATCTTAACCCTTTGGCAACAATTCATTTCTTCTAGTTTCCTTCTCATTCAGAAAAAAATACAATGCATTGCTTTATGGGAATTAAAAGGGCAGGCGTTAAGGTAGCCAACGACATTTGAATGTCCCTCCAAAACTATCTTTCCCACTGTCCACTCATTTCTAAACATCTCTTCTCAAATGGGGATTTTTTTGCAGCATTTTTGATAAGTAAATTAGATATTTTTCTATATTTCACAAATTGAATACAGCAATATTTTACGGAAAGAGCAATAGGAAGTAGAGGTCGACCGATTTATCGGTTTTGCCGATAATCGGCACCGATAGTTGATTGGTGGAACTATCGTTATCGGCAAAAATCCACACCGATCGTTTTTGATAGTGACAAAAACACACGCAGACCTGACCCAAATGTTTTATGATGCAATTGTTACCTTATATTTACATTAGTTTAGAAAATCAGAAACGCATCGCTTCAATATTATTATTTTGATTTAGATAATCATCAAGTGTTCTAAAAGAGAAGCAAATAAAGCGAGAGACTGTACATCTAACAGCCATATGTTTGTTTTAAATCCAGTATCCAATTTAAAAAATATCGGTTGAATAATCGGTTATCGGCCTAAATATCGGTATCGGTAAAATCCAATATCGGTCGAGCTCTGATTGGATGGGATGGGATGAGAGTGAGGATGAGTTAGCGTTATGATTGGGAATGATAGGGATCTACTTATTATTGGTTATTGGTCTACATTTATGTAATTTTAATGCTATGGCCTTTGCAGTTATTTAAATATGGCCATCTTTAAGCATGACTCGTTGGATTTATATGAAATGGTTACACTTTACAATAACATTCCATTTTTAGCATTAACTAAGGTTAATAAGTGTTGTAGAAGTATTATTCACTGTTTGTTAATTTCAACATTTAGTAATACATTTTAAATTGAGTTTTCTGTTATTACCTATTATGTACTATAAACTAAAATGAACAATCAAGGTACAATTGTATTTCTCAAATAATAATGCATACAGTAAAACTGTATATCGTATATTGCATAATGCTTAGTTCATGAAAGCTTTATTTATCAAATAAAATTTACAAATGTTTATAGCATATAGCTAAAACAACACATATTTGACCTGTAATATTTTAATGTTTAAATTATTTTCTATAGTTTCTTTTTATTATTAGTTCGTTCTGTAAAAGTTCTCATTTTAATATATTGATTTTTATTTATTTATTTATTTAATTTAGCACATTTCAGTTCAGCACTGTTTTACTTGGAGTGTTATGTTTGTTTTAAATCCAGTATCCAATTTATATCCCAAAAATATCGGTTGAATAATCGGTTATCGGCCTAAATATCGGTATCGGTAAAATCCAATATCGGTCGAGCTCTAATAGGAAAAGTGCAGAGTTAGCTCTTCCATGGGATGAGAGTGAGGATGAGTTAGCCTAATGATTGGGAATGATAGGGATCTACTTATTTATTGGTTTGCATGAGTTCCAAGTATATACATCTATCAAATTTCGAAAAGAAATGTGCAATTAAATGGTAAAAAAAGTAGTTGCTTTTGTATAAAATTATGATTTTCTTTTCTATTGTGGTTAAAAAGTTTTTTTTATTTGTATGATTGAAGCGATTTCATGTGATTAAAACTCATTTGAAAAAATATGTTATGGTTAGAGCATAATGCATGCCATAGACCCTCTATGCCAGGTGTAAACACGGTGACACGGTCCACAGTGTGCGTAGGCTCATCAGATCTCTGTGTCCATGTCAGGTGACGGCCTGGGCTCGACAGCACCAGCAGAGACTCTCCAGTGCTCTGGCCGACCTGCTGGCCACTCAGGAACTGCTGGAGAACCTCCTGAACTGGCTCCAGTGGGCCGAGACCACACTCGGAGAGAAAGACAAGGAACCTCTTCCTCAGGAGCTTGAGCAAGTCAAGTCCCTCATCGCTGAGCACCAGGTACCATCAAGAGCTCAGTATAGCGTCATTACATCAAAAGGTTTATTAGTGTGAATTGTAGAAACAAACTGTATGTGTCTTTGCTATGTACAAGACATTCATGGAAGAGATGACCAGAAAACAGCCGGATGTGGACAAAATCACCAAAACTCATAAAAGGAAAGCCACAGCAGACCCCCCGGTGCAGTCTCAGATCCCTGTTCTGCACAAAGGACGATCAGTCAGTGAGTCCAGTGTTTCAATTCAGTTTGTCACAGGCATCACATGGTCTTTGAATCACATTACTATGAATGTCCATGCAGCCAAGCTGGCCTTCCTTGAACAATACTATTGTTTTAGCATGATTTGATATCTAGGTTGGGGTAAGGGTTGATGTTTAAAAATATGGAGGTGCGTTAAGAGGGGGTCCAAGGTGTATTTGGGGTCCTTGAGATGTTCTGACATGCCTGACATTTGTGATTTTTTAAGTTGCTTAAACATATTAATGGCACAGGTGAAATTACACTATATTTAGCACAAACAGGGCTACCATAAAATGTGAGCAACATGTACTGTACATGTTTGTATTTTTGAGAGAATATTCTTTATGTGTGGTTATTGAAAAGCTAAAAAAGAAAGTTTCTGAAATAAGGCCACAAAAAACATATGAAATATGCGTCCACGAGACTTTAACACGTCATACGCTATATAATTAGGTGAAAGGAAAAAGACTTATATCTCTCCATTTTCAAACAGATTACATCAACTGAGAAAAGTTGCTTTTTTATAGGGCTGTCAAACGATAAATCGTGATTAATCGCATCCAATATAAAAGTTTGTGTTTACATAATATATGTGGGTGCACTGTGTATAATTATTATTGTATATATATATATATATATATATATATATATAAATACACACACATGCTTGTATATTTAGGAAAAAAAATATTATTTATATATAAAATATTTATATTTAAATATAATATAAATTATATATAAATCTATATACAGTACATCAATGAAAATATTTCTCAAATGCATGTGTGTGTATTTAAATATATAAAATGATTATACACAGTGCACCCAAATATATTATGTAAACATAAACTTTTATTGTGGATGCGATTAATAGCGATTTATCGTTTGACAGCCCTACTTTTTTATATAAATGACTCAGCTTCATAAAGAGAAATCTTTCGTATCTCTGAGACAAGTATTGAGTTAGGCTACAGTTCATTTTCGGACACATTTCAGAAATATTTTTGCGGAGACATGAGTGAGCTCAAAGCACACCCTGTTTAATTTATTTAATTTACAAAAACACAAGGTTTTGATGTTAATAAGAGTGTACACACAAAAAAGAAGACCCTTTATAGTTTATAATCATGTATTGATTTATATGACCATTATTTTAAGTCTATGTTGCAGCTATGTGAAAAAAAAAAATGATCAAAACGCGGGGACGTGTTTTTGGTCCTCAGGGGGTTAATACAAACACCTAGGCTGTGTCAAAATCACATACTCTCTCAGGATTGTTTGTTTAAGTCCTTTGTTTTTGGTCATCAGGAAAGAGATCTCCTACACAAACCATGTACGCCGCAGCATCACAGGCTCAAATCGAGACGAAGAACCCCAGAGTGAACCTGCTGGTCAGTAAGTGGCAGCAAGTGTGGCTTCTGGCTCTGGACAGGAGAAGGAAGCTCAACGATGCTCTGGACAGACTAGAGGAGGTCAGTCGAACACGCACACCTGACCTCAGATCTGAGCCGTGTCAAATGTAGTCATCCTTAGAAAATCTTAAATCTGACTTAAATTTGTGGACAGAAAACAGGAATGGTGATGCGGCCTTGATGAATTATGACAATGTTTACATTACGGTGTCACTTTTCAGCACAGCTGTGTTGTATACAGGGTCACTGCCATATTTCTGCTGTTCTATAAGTGCCAGCAAGTGGATTAAAAAGAAACTAATCCAAACAATTCTATATATTGCATTTAAAAACCCAGAAGAGTAACTCTCTGAGTAACAGTTATGTCAATCTTCTGCTCTAAGCTGAAAGAGTTTGCCAACTTCGACTTTGACGTATGGAGGAAACGCTACATGCGCTGGATGAACCACAAGAAATCACGCGTCATGGACTTCTTCCGTCGTATTGATAAAGACCAGGATGGCAAAGTCACGAGGCAGGAATTCATCGATGGCATCCTGTCGTCAAGTAAGGAAAGACTTCAAACAGTGTCTTCTTTAAAGGAGTAGTTCACTTGTAAAAAAAAAAAAAAACTTTTGCTGATAATTTACTCGCCCCCATGTCATCCAAGATGTCCACGTCTTTCTTTCTTCAGTCGAAAAGAAATTAAGGTTTTTGATGAAAACATTCCAGGATTTTCTCCATATAATGGACTTCAATGGGAACCAAACGGTTCAAAGGTCCAAATGAGAGTTTCAGTGCAAACTGTTCAAAGGGCTTTAAACGATTCCAGACGATGAATAAGGGTCTTATCAAGAGAAACGATCGCTCATTTAATAAATAAATAACAAAGTTTAAGTTTTATAAGCTCAAATGCTCGCCTTGCTCTGTTCTGTGATGCGCGTTCGTGACTCTCCTGTTCAAACTCGTTCATCAAAATGAATGAATCTTTTCCCGAGTCAATTCGTTCATTTCGTTCGTTGAATCAACCAAATGACACCAAAAAAGACTTGTTTTTGACTCTAGACTCCCTTATTCATCGTCTGGAGTCGTTTAAAGCCCTTTGAACAGTTTGCACTGAAACTGTCTTTTGGACCTTGAACCGTTTGGTCCCCATTGAAGTCCCCATTGAAGCCATTTTCTATATGGAGAAAATCCTGGAATGTTTTCATCAAAAACCTTAATTTCTTTTCGACTGAAGAAAGAAAGACATGGACATCTTGGATGCAAAAGTGTTTTTCAAAAGTGAACTACTCCTTTTAGTCTTTGGGGCGTTACCCTCACTCTTCTCTGTTCCTGTAGAGTTTCCCACCAGTCGTCTGGAGATGAGCGCCGTGGCGGACATCTTTGATCGGGACGGCGATGGTTACATTGACTACTATGAGTTTGTGGCTGCTTTACATCCCAACAAAGACGCCTACAAACCCTTAACCGATGCTGACAAAATTGAAGATGAGGTAAACGTTACCAGCTTGCGTTCTGGAAACCTAGCAACTGGAAGTGTTAGAGATGACCTTTCATGAAGTCGTTTTCACTCTGATTTATGACTTCATGTGCTCAGGTGACTCGCCAAGTTGCAAAGTGCAAGTGTCCCAAGCGCTTCCAAGTAGAGCAGATTGGCGCCAACAAATATCGGGTAAGTGACGTGTTTTTCATGCTTTGGAGATGAGTCAAGAAAAAGCTTTATATTTATGAAACTTGATTCAGTATGGATCCCTAAGCCAAGAGAAATGTAGAAACCTGTGCATTGTGTCAGTCAATCCCCAAAACGATCACTGGACTATGGCTGTGAAAGTATCATTTTACAACAAAGTGATCGTAAAAAATTACCTCGATGCTAGAAAAAAATATGTTGTTTATCTGGTAGTAAATACATAATTGGATGTAAACAATATAGTAAAGGCTGTATTGAAATGAAAAGTATGAAAGCCGACATAAGGAATGTTTTGAGGACAAGATGGAAACATGAATACTGGAAAGTTGGCAGTGTTCCTCAGGCCCACGTTAAAACCAGTCCCCAAAACAAACCTCTTTGTCCCGACGCTGTGGATGCCAAAGAGAATGACTTCATGACATGTTTATGTGCCGCTGCATTTCTCAGTCTCCAAGTGTGAGGGTTTTCCACCGGTCCACTTCTCTCCGACACTCCTAATAAACAGATCCCATACCGTTTGGTCACACTGGTACCGCCCATAATCTGAGGGAATAATGAAGGTGTTCATAAAAACACAGTTCTTCTGTGCCAGTCTGGAGACAAGCTGGATAGATGGATTTCAAAAGAATTGATTGTTAAGTGAACTGATATTTACTAATGTTTGTCTTTTCATTGTTTTTTTTCTCCACATCAGTTCTACCTTGGAAACCAGGTATATATGCATTGAGCTTTTAAAAGATTTGCAGTGCTGCCCTTTTTGTTTTATCTGATCCCTAATATTTAAGGCTGTCCTAAACTCACAAGCCGATAAGCAAATTTAAGCTCGTTTTCAACCCTTTTCCCAAAGCCAGCTCAAATAGAGAGTGAAACATCTACTTCCCTGATAATAAATGACACAAAAATGGTGTCTAGTTCAGATATGTCCTTAATGTCCTTTGTGTTGCGAGTAATTATTAGACCGATTAATTAAAGCAAGTTAAATGTTTGGGAGTAGTTTCGAGTGTAATTCGAGTGTAATTCAAAAAACACAGTGTCCCCGTTATACATCTTACATGTACATACAGTACCATAGTAATAGTAGATTGTGTATAATTGCAAGCAACGAACCCTAAAACAAACCCTAAGCATGTAGTAAGTACATGTAGTTAATTATTGTCTCAGGGATTACACCTTAAAGGGATTGTTGACCCCCCCAAAAAATCACTATCTCGCCCTCATGTCGTTCCAAACCTGTAAGACTCTAGTTTATCTTTTCAAAACAAATGAACATATTTTAATGAAATCTGAGATATTTCTGATGAACTTTTTGAAGCATTAAAGGAGTAGTTCATTTAAAAAAAAAAAAAACGTTTGCGGATAATTTACTCGCCCCCGTGTCATCAAAGATGTCCATGTCTTTCTTTCTTCAGTCGAAAAGAAATGAAGGTTTTTGATGAAAACATTCCAGGATTTTCTCCATATAATGGACTTCAATGGGAACCAAACGGTTCAAGGTCCAAATGAGAGTTTCAGTGCAAACTGTTCAAAGGGCTTTAAACGACTCCAGACGATGAATAAGGGTCTTAACAAGCGAAACGATCGACCATTTAATAAATAAATAACAAAGTTTAAGTTTTATAAGCTCAAATGCTCGCCTTGCTCTGTTCTGTGATGCGCGTTCGTGACTCTCCTGTTCGAACTCGTTCATCAAAATGAACAAATCTTTTTCCAAATCATTTGGGTCATTCAACGAACGAAACAAATTGACTCGTTGAAAAGATTCGTTCATTTGAGCTTATAAAACTTAAACTTTGTTATTTATTTATTAAATGAGCGATCGTTTCTCTTGATAAGACCCTTATTCATCGTCTGGAGTCGTTTAAAGCCCTTTGAACAGTTTGCACTGAAACTCTCATTTGGACCTTGAACCGTTTGGTTCCCATTGAAGTCCATTATATGGAGAAAATCCTGGAATGTTTTCATCAAAAACCTTCATTTCTTTTCGACTGAAGAAAGAAAGACATGGACATCTTGGATGACATGGGGGCGAGTAAATTATCAGCAAAGGTTTTTTGAAAAGTGAACTAATCCTTTAAAGTGGTAGTTGCATAGACTGTCAATGGTGGGACAGAAATCTCTCAGATTTTATTAAAACATATTCATTTGTGTTTCGAAGATGAATGGAAGTCTTACAGCTTTGGAATGAGTAAATGATGACAGCATTTTCATTTTTGAAATTAAAATTAAAATGAACAACCAAAGCTTTTTCAAAAGCGATACCCCACGAGAGGCCTTTCGATAATAGTGATTTTTGCGTGGATAAGACCAATAACAATATGGTAAATGACATTAATAATTGCAGCTGTTTATAGTTTCCAGTCAACATGCTGTAGCACATTGAAACAGAACATGTGATCACATTTGATCCGCATATTCAGGCCTTATTTAGGTAACTGTATAGTGCAGTCATTTTAAAATCTTGCCAGTAGTTAATCCAGAAAGGAAAAGGTTGCTAATGTTATAGTCAACTATTATATCACCTATCTGCTTCTGAGTTGAAACACATTTCTCCCCGCAGCGCTGCTTTCTGCTTCTCTTTATTATTTGCGAGAGCTTTGCAACACAGCACAGTCTGCTTGCCTTCTGCTACCTGCCTAATCCCCTTCAACGCCAGCGACTTACTCCTGCTTTTAACCACATGTTGTGGCTGGTGTTCAAACAAGCTAAAGCTTCAGGAAAAATGTTGAGCTGAAAGATGCATGGTTTTCCCGACATAAATCACATAAAATCATGAGCTACATGCTTTCTCAGGGAAGATCCGTGACTCTTAGCTGGTTTTATCGTTTTTCTTCCTTTGTATTGAGAACTTTATATCACATCAACTGAAACCATTCTTTTGACAGTTTGGTCTCGTTCACTGCTTACATGATCCCTTAATCGCCGACGAGACTATAACAAACAGGGACAATCAAAATCTAACCCCCCATCTACACGTTGCGGTTTTGGAAAGCTGTATCCTGGTAATGGTCATCCTTATTGATTTCTCCTGATCATGCTTCAAAATTCATCTTCCCAATCACCAAATTCACCAATGGTATCGATTCATTCTCGGTATCACTTGAATAACGGCGGGCTGTCAGGCCGGAGAGGTCATGTCGAGTCGATTTCAGCCATTACTCCATATTGTGTGTGGGTGGAGTCGAGCATCAGTGTGAACACGCATCCTCTATGAGAATGTTAGTTTTGTAGTTTTAGACAGTGCAACTTATGTATGTATTGTTGGTTTGTGGAAAAAGTTCTCATATGGTATGCTTTCTTTCTTCTTCTTCTTTTTCGTTTTTTTACAGAAAGCATGAGGCCATAATTTTCTGTGCTGTGAAATCTGTATGCCTTGGCCAAATCCAACTGGCAACAATCATTTGCAATCAAATGATCTGGCTGGATGTTTTCTTTAGCTTGTGTAGGGTTCAGTAGAGTTCCCTACGCTCCAGTGCCCTTATTGGTATGAAAACAGAGGCGTAGACCACACCTGTAGCGCACCCTAGCGGACACACTGATCACTGTACTGTGTCTTAAATGTGCACTAAGTCACTTTTTAGAGCGTATTAAAGTTTCAGACGGTATATGTCTGACAAACGTTTAACATGATTAATTACTGTAATGTAATTACTTTTCTCTGGGATTATTCTTGATGTTCTGTAATTTAATTACAGTTACTTCTGATGTAATTTAAATACTGTATTATAGACTATGGGACAAATCAAATATAAAACTTTAACGTCTAATGTTTTTAATGTAAACTTCTCCCTTTAAATACTTTGTTCAGTTCAGGAATAATTTATGCAATTTTATATTATTTATCTGAAACAATTAGAAGAGCAATTTCATGTCTATCCCTGTATTGTTTAACTGGTGGAGGTCGATATGGGGCAGTGTAATTAGTGTTATAATGCAATACTTTTTAGAGAGCAATTAGTACAGTAATCTAATTACACTGTTGAATATGTAATTAAATTATTTTTTTTAGAGTAACTTAGCCAACATTGCTCATATGAGATGAAGACTCAGTGTAATATCAGTAATACCCACCTAATTTTAAAATAAACAATTATATGAAAATTAGGGCTGTGCATTTAAAATAAAAGTTTGTGTTTGCATAATATATGTGGGTGCACTGTGTATAATTATTTTATATATATAAATACACACACATGCTTGTATATATTTAAGAAATATTTTAATGTATATACTGTATATAGATTTATATATAATTTATATTATATATAAATATAAGTATTTTATATATAAATAATATTTTTTTCTTAAATATACATGCATGTGTGTGTATATATATATATATATATATATACACAAAATAATTATACACAGTGCACCCACATATTATGTAAACTCGTGATTAATCGTTTGACAGCCATAATAAAAATTTGTATATAATGTTGTTAAAATAAAATATTTGTTTATGCTTAAAAACTAGAGAGAGAAATGTAATAAAGACATAAGAATTTAGAATTTTCATAAGAATTTAGACTTTTGAATTTAGAAGTAATCACAGGTGATAAATATATCTACAAATCAAGTATATCTATTCTAGTGAATAATAGTGTTTATGATGGAAATCTTTCGCGTCATGCTTCCTCCACGCCTGCAGGGGGCAGTATATGGTCTAGAACTACCATAGTATCAGCCAACAAAACACAGAAAGACTGACTTTATGCACTTTTATTGACATACAGTGACCAGCACCACCACACTCAATATTCTCTCACGGTGAGTCTTAAATTAGCACAAAGCCACACATGAACCCAGTTGGATTGACCATTCATTTCACATCTCCTGGAATGAAACCAATGTTGTGTCGATATCAAAAATGGTTTTGTCTAAATCAAATCGCTCAGCAGGGCAACAAAGGAAACGAGGCGATAAACCGAAGTATAGTCTAACTGGACTGAGATTGTTGAGGTTTTAATCACCCACGTTTAACGGTGTTATAGTGCCGAGGTTTCTGACGTTGCTCTGCTGTGTGTGTGTGTGTGTCACTGATAAACATGACCGTATCACGGAGGAATGACTGCTCTCTGTCCGTGTCCAGTTTGGAGACTCCCAGCAGCTCCGGCTGGTGCGGATCCTGCGCAGTACGGTGATGGTGCGGGTCGGCGGGGGCTGGATGGCCCTGGATGAGTTCCTGGTGAAAAATGACCCGTGCAGAGGTAACGTCCAGACACTTTAACTTCAGCCCGTGGTGTTCAGCCGGCTGATTTAATGGCATTGACATCGTGAATAACTCAATTCTTCAATTTATTTGTAAAGTGTTTTGCTTCAACAGTTCTGTTCCAAAACCTAGTTGAGTTTCCTATATATGCAGCTTTAACACATCATAGACGCATTCCCACGTGAAGGTAGTTTTATTATCAATACTGCCAAGAGACCTTGTTGTATACTACAGGGCTGTTGAATGCTTGATTCTGATTGGTTGAGAACGTTCTAAAGGTGTGCAATTATTTTCAGGGAAAGTAGTTCCGGCAGGTTTGTCATGTCCAGTTTTGCTGCTGTTAAATAAGCCGAGAGTGAAGCAGAATTAGCTTGTAATAATTACGTTATGTTGTTACAGTGTAGTTGACTGACTGTCCTTTTAACTTTTGACAATGTGACTGAAGTATTTCTTTAATAGCGCGTGACAGTTATAGCAATGAGACGCATCATCTCTCCTCGGCCTGTTATATTGAAAATGTATGTTTTACACTTTGTAGTATGACGTCATCCATTGCTAAATTATGGCTCATTATAGACTAGCTAATAACAAAGCTATCTAATGCCACTATCATCAGTCTGTTCTGTTGTGACAATAAAAGAAAAAAAGTTTCTTTTTAAAATACATGATCATAATATTTTAATAACTACAAATAACTAATGTTAGGGAAATCTGTTAATGTTTTGTTGCGCGTTTCGAAAAAAAAAAGAAGAAAATATCATCCGATATATCGGCATATCGGATTTTAAAACCCCAAAATATTTGTATCGGTATCGGCCTTCAAAATCATTTATCGGTCGGGATCTAGTAACTTGTGAGGTTGATCTCAGTCAAGACTGCCAGTGTAGGCCGTAGAAAGCACTGCAGCTCACGAGGCTTTGGAACAGAACCCACCCAGACACCAACGTAGTGTCGGCCCAGATGCGGCCCACATCTGGTGCATGTGGATTCAACGCATCTATGTTGCTGTCTGGGTATGCATAGTAAATCCAGAGTTTAGTGTCCATTTATATTTACATGCTGATGGATATGCTCATAGGGTGTAATAATGTGTTGTGGCTGAATCTTTTCTACCTGCACTCTGATTGGCTGTTTCTGAGATTCTTAAAGCTTGCCGGTTTCTTCCCATGAAGCTTTTCTTTCAGAATTTCCCTTTTCCTGCTGCTTTGTTAGTGAACCCAATTATGGTTTCTTCTAGTTCACCACCACGGGAGTAAAATGTTGCGCTCGGAATCAAACTCTTCAATTACTCAGTCTCCTATAGGTTGGCAACTCTCACACTTTCTCTCCTTGCTCAATCCCAGTGGTATGTGTGCATCCCTGTGTGTGTGTGTGTGCTGCAGTGATCCTTGAATGGTATTCTCATTAACATTAATCTCACGCTTCCCTTTCCATCGTGCTGTCTGGGACTGTTTAGCATGAGGTCTTGAGTCATGTGTCCTCTCTCGCTTTCTCTGCATGTGTTTACTGGAGCTCTGTGAAACTTGCTTGACAATCTCATCTATGCAAGATATGATTAACTCATCAAAGTGATGAACTTGAAACCTAACGTTTTTTTTTTTCTAAAATGCGTTGTCTAGGACTTAAAGGAGTTGTTCACTTTTAAAAAAAAACGTTTGCTGATAATTTACTCGCCCCCATGTCATCCAAGATGTCCATGTCTTTCTTTCTTCAGTCGAAAAGAAATTAAGGTTTTTGATGAAAACATTCCAGGATTTTTCTCCATATAATGGACTTCAATGGGAACCAAACGGTTCAAGATCCAAAAGACAGTTTCAGTGCAAACTGTTCAAAGGGCTTTAAACGATTCCAGACGATGAATAAGGGTCATTTGGTTCATTAATCGAACGAAATGAACGAATTGATGAACAGGAGAGTCACGAACGCGCATCACAGAACAGAGCAAGGCGAGCATTTGAGCTTATAAAACTTAAACTTTGTTATTTATTTATTAAATGAGCGATCGTTTCTCTTGATAAGACCCTTATTCATCGTCTGGAATCGTTTAAAGCCCTTTGAACAGTTTGCACTGAAACTGTCTTTTGGATCTTGAACCGTTTGGTTCCCATTGAAGTCCATTATATGGAGAAAAATCCTGGAATGTTTTCATCAAAAACCTTAATTTCTTTTCGACTGAAGAAAGAAAGACATGGACATCTTGGATGACATGGGGGCGAGTAAATCATCAGCAAATGTTTTTTTTTTTTTAGAAGTGAACTACTCCTTTAACCCTATACAATAATATATTTGTATGCACTGCAGCATTATTTGTATGCAGTTTTCATCATCTTTTTATCATTATTATTTTGCCAGTGATGTGAAATGCATGCAAGTCATTCCCTACATCAAACACTGAAGTGTGTTTTGCTCATCAATCCCCAACCCGGTCAATGATACCTTCATAACTAAGATCAGAACCTTTGGCTTTCAAAAATAAGTTCCTTAAAAATTGAAACTAAAGTTAAAGTTGATTTAGAGCTCTATGAACAACATAAATGATGGCTTGATTGTTGATTACAAATAATAATAATTTTGACTTGAATAATTTCAAACAAACCAAAAATGTTTCACAGTACTATATGGTACGGTGATTAAATTGATATAGATCATTTTACAGATTTTTTTTTTTCAATCGACGATACACTCTTAAAAATGAAGGTTTTTAATTGGCATCTACAGTCCTACGAGGAATCTTTCCATTTCACAAAAGGTTCTTTATAGTGGAAAAATGTTCTTCAGATTTTTTTAATGTCATTCACACTAAAAAAAAGGGTTATTTAAGGAAAACTGTTATTTGGGGAACTAAAGCTCTTCTGTAGCATCGATGCCAAACCTTTCATTTTTAAGAGTGTACCACATATGTTGTACATAGACCGTAAGTTGGACTGAACCCCAGATGTTCAGATGAAGAGCTTGTTTCTTTAAACTGGCGCTGAAGGTTTTGGTGTGGTCACGCGTCTCTCTCTAAACTGCGTGCTCTTCCTCCAGCAAAGGGCAGAACCAACGTGGAGCTGCGCGAGAAGTTTATTCTCCCAGAAGGCACCACCCAGGTGATGGCCAGTTTCCGCTACAGAGGTCGAAGGTCACGGCCTTCCTCAAGAGGCCCCTCCCCTAACAGATCCAACTCCAGCCACAGCTGCCCCGCACAACCCAACCCATCGGGCGCCAGCACACCCAAGGTACGCTTATCCATGATAGGGTTGCAGAGAAACCCGGAACTGCTCCATGTTTTTGTCACATTTTCCTGTCGCCAATCATTAAGCTCGGTTCCAGAACCTAGTGAGCTGCCTTGCTGTCAGATCTTGCTGATTGGTTCAGAACGCTCTACAATGATTAATACATAATACATACAGCACACGGATCAAAGTCACAGCTCATTTCAAGTGAGTTTTGTCAAATACTGAAACACGCTTCAATCATTTTGCATGAATCCGAACTGAGTGTTCTCCAGCTGGAGTGGTAACGTAAATCTCTTTATTAGATAATGCAATACTACTAATAATAGTAATAATATTATCGATAATAATATAATTAAAGTAATGTGATGATTTATTTAGCATAGAATAAAGCTTGATCGAGCTTAGGAGTCAGTGCTGTTTTCATTATTGTAACACTATTATAGTCGTATCACTCGCCTGTATTTTGTTCCATAATCATGAAGACTTACAAAAGGAGTTGTTAGGAAGAATATCATGGCATTTACTTTTTCTTTTTCATTCTGTAAATTAAAAGTTGAATGAGAACGTCTCGGTCAGCTCAGTTGTCATGAAAAAAAGATTGCAATTTTATATTTATAATAATGGTTTGCAGATTAATATATTTTACCATTCTTTGTTTCCTGAAGTAATGACCCTTTTCCTGTTTCAAATCTAAGAAAAGCAGTGGTCCTATTAAACAATGCTTATGTGTGTGATTTGAGTTGGACTGAAATCTGAAAACTTAAAGAGAATGACCTGTTTAGTTGGCTCAAACTTCATTAAAACAACTATTTCAAAAGCTGAACTGATCATAGTAAGAATATCTATAACTCAATGTTTTAACTAATTGAAAAAGCTGAATAATCGTTCCAAACTTAATGATTAACTGGCAAAATAATCGACCAATCGTTCTAATAATCGTTAGAATAATCGATTATCAAAATAATCGTTTGTTGCAGCCCTACGAGTGAACAGACTTTCCTTGGTTTGCTATTGGTATTTTTCTAAGCTTCAAGACAAAATACATAGCGCACACAAAAATGTTGTTAAAAAAAATGTTATACATTTTTTTCAGAAGTGAATGAATTACGTTCATATTTATCTCACTTCATTGTTGATATGGAATGTAACAATATTTCAGAAAGGCAGCGTAAACATCTGCATCTATGACATCATAAAGTGCTGCCTACAAAGGGAGCTCACTAGGATTTGGAACAGAGCCATTGACTATCCCATCATCATTTGTCGATATATAATTGTTTCCTGTATTGTCTTTCTTTTCTTTTTTTCTATTGCTACCCCATGTGCGATTGTTTCTCACAGACTCCCCAACATTTAATCCGAAATTATGATAAACCCTGGCTGACAAACAGCAAATCAGCTACTCCCCTTAAATCATCCGACTCCTTTGACAGCCAAGGGTCGTCCAATGAGGTATAGTGCTTAAGAAATGAGTGGCAAACCCCCGTCTAATCTCCGTCTCCTGCTCCTGACCTCTGTTTCTGATCTAATCACTTCCTGTGTGGGTTTGTGATTGAGTTCAGTCTCTATCTCTGGCTTTGCGGTGATGCATGGACGGGACTCCTCTATTAAAGTCCTATAATTCTAATCTCTCTACATCTGGTGTGATTGTCTCGAATTCATTTAAATCAGCTTGATCAAACTGGGCCTTCTCTAACTGTTGCCACTAAAACTTGATCTTTTCTACATCCAGAACTCACTCTAAACTCTTTCCCTATTTCTTCTTGTGTGAATGGCTGAATTTGATTCAGTGTAAGCAGTGTAAACTTTAATTTTTTGTGTCTTTCATGCATTAATTCCATCATGCTGGCCATGTAATGTACACACTGCAATGTTTTGGAATTAACACACTCAGAAGTGATTCCCTAAATGATTGTGACGTGCATGTTTGTGAAATACGGGGATCACTCCTAAAACCGTCTGTCCAGTTGAAGGAGTAGTTCACTTTAAAAAACAGACTTTTGCTGATAATTTACTCGCCCCATGTCATCCAAGATGTCCATGTCTTTCTTTCTTCAGTCGAAAAGAAATTGAGGTTTTGATGAAAACATTCCAGGATTTTTCTCCATATGATGAACTTTAATGGGAACCAAACGGTAGGGCTGGGCGATATGGCCCAAAAAAATGGTCACGATAATTTTTTTTTATATCAGTCGATATCGATAATTATCATGATAAATGTCAAATCTTTATTTCTTTCAAGTTTAAAGGCTGATTTTTTGCTCCTAAGTGAAAGTTAATTGTGGTTTTAAACTACTCTTTATTGTCAGAACATATCATGACAGACACTTGCCAAACAAGAGAACATTTCACAAATGTGAGGTAGAACATTCAAACATTTTTCATTATTCCTTTAAATAAATATTTGAATAGAAAAATATTTCATCAGCACAGTTTGCAGTGCAGGCTGCAATTTTAAAATGGTCAAATATTCAAAATTTGGCAAATTCAAATATTCAATATTCAAAATATTCATGTTTTGTCTCAAAGTGCATATTTGACAGCTAATGTTAAATTTATGTTCATTAACAAAAACAGTAACATCTGTTTTTTTTAAATATAACGACCAAATTTTTATTTGGTAAAATGTAATATTCTGACTGTTTGAGTTTTATTAAAATAAACCATTGGTCATTATCATGTATTCAGATCATGATAACCACAGATAAAAACAGGCATAGCCTATAACTTAGCACCTCACTATCATGGCATAACTTTATGGTTTCTGTGGTATTTGTATGAAAAACAGTAGCCTAACTGTTAAATACATTATTAAATACTGTACTTATATTCCATTAGTCATTCAATACATTGTCTACATTAATAATATTATACAATTCAATATGTACTGTATATCCCACATTTCATGGTGCAGTTAATATTACTAGGCTAACCTTACAGTAAATCCATGGTAGGCTAAATGGATTCAGTATCAGTTCAGATTCTGACTGTATCGTGGCACGCATAGTCAGAATCTGAATCTCGTGAGGGACACGATCAGATTGCGCGTCTGCGTGAGTTCGCGCTGCCGTTTGTTCCGTGTGGCGCGCGGTTTAAATGAGTTTCGTTCAGCTTTTGGCGCTTAAACATTATTGAACATTTATCGACCTCTTGATATCGTTTTATCAAGAAAAATGATATCGCGATAATTATCGTTATCGTTTTGTTCGAACTTGTTTATCAGAATGAACAAATCTTTTTCCGAGTCAAGTCGTTCATTTCGTCCGTTGAATCAACCAAATGACACAAAAAAGATTTGTTCATTTTTAAGGACAGGAGAGTCACGTACGCGTGTCACAGAACAGAGCAAGGTGAGCATTTGAGCTTATAAAACTTAAACTGTTATTTATTTATTAAATGAGAGATCGTTTCGCTTGATAAGAACCTTATTAATTGCCTGGTGTCGTTTAAAGCCCTTTGAACAGTTTGCACTGAAACTGCCTTTTGGACCTTGAACCGTTTGGTTCCCATTGAAGTCCATTATATGGAGAAAATCCTGGAATGTTTTCATCAAAAACCTTAATTTCTTTTCGACTGAAGAAAGAAAGACATGGACATCTTGGATGACATGGGGGTGAGTAAATTATCCGCAAGTTTTTTTTTTTTTAAAGTGAACTACTCCTTTAAATGTTTCAGTCAGGATTTCTGATTTTGTGTTTTTCGGTGCAGTTTTATTTGGGACTTTTGCACCAGGTACAGTAGTTCTAGGACGGTTCCACAAGAACTACATTTCCCCTAGGGACATTTTCCTGCTCGCATTTGCACCGCCAGAAGGAACTCTGATGTGATGTAAACAACTAGAGGATGCTGTGGTCACATCTGTGTTTGTTACTTAAATTACTACGAACAGAAGAAAGTACAACATGCAATATTGCAGAATAAAGGCCCATTCACACTAAGGACGATATCTGTAACCATAAAGATATAGTTGTAAACAATCATTCTTAATGTAAAAGAATAGCAGAGTCCATGATAACGGCACAGAGGAACGATATCGCTTGAATCACTTTCAGAATTCTTTTTTTCCAGCTGATAAAAACAATAAAAAATGATAAAAACATTGACAGACAATCAGAATCAGTTCTGCTTTAAAGAGTTTGAGCATGTAAAGTGACAAACAACAAAACTGCAGCATGATTAGTATAAACTTAGAATAACAGAATGATATCATGCGTTGGTCCAGAGCGTAGTCGTTGGTCCGGAGCGTAGTCGAAAGCCAGGCGATAGGTCGGTAACCGGAAGCAGTCCAAGAGACATCTACAAATACAGAGGAGCAAAGAAACTAAATATCAAATGAAAAACTAAAAAAAAATCAATTGAAAACTAATCAGGCATACAAGTGGTTACAAACATTTTTTTTTTCTCTGTGAGTTTCCAAAAAAAGGAAAAAAAAACATTAACGTGCAACAAGGAGCCTTCTAGCGCTTAAGTCGCTGTCTTTTCAAGGAGTGCTGAAATGTCAATGATTCAATCGTGCCAACGCTGGGATATTAGTTATAAATTACATATGAAACTCAATACCTAAAAAGTAAAGATTAGCCAACCTACCTACCTAGTTTCAGTGAGAACAGTGCTGTTTTTTGCCAGCGAATCGAAGTTTGGTGTCAGTTTCGTTGTGGCAATTCTTAGGACCGATCTCAGGTGATCATCAGTTAACTGGGATCTGTGGCATGCTTTGTTGATGTTCATCACGCTGAACGTCTGCTCACACACGTAAGTAGAGCCAAACAACACCAGCATCTTCTGTGCCAACTGTCGGATGTTTGGAAACTTGTTTTCATTAAGTGAAGCATAAAACTTATCCACTTTCAAGGATTCGGTGCTGTTTCAGAGTCCAGTGACAGGGGACATGACACCAGCTGAAGTGACTTCTCGATTTTTTCAAAATCAGAGAATTGACGGCAAAATTCTCTGTGCAGGACATCCAGTGATTTGCTGTATTTCTTTGCATGTTGAGATGTCGCTAGTGTGGGGAAATGAGCGAACATGTTGTTTGAAATTTGCCTTGAGAATAAAGTCAATTTGGTTTTGAAGGCTTTCACATTTGCATGCATGTCATGCACAAATTGATCTTTCCCTTGTAGATTCTCGTTCAGCACGTTCATGTGTGCCAATATGTCCACAGCGAATGCAAAATCACAAAGCCAGTCGATGTCGCTCAGCTCGGGAAAATCCCCAGCCTTCCCCATTAACTCCAATCTCTTATCTCCCCTTTGAGCTCCCACACTCGCTGACATGCTTTCCCCAAACTTAACCAACGGACATTAGAGTGGTACAGTAAGTCCTGGTGATCAGCATCAGTTTCTTCGAGGAATTGAATGAACTGACGATGGTTAAGTCCTCTTGCTCGAATGAAGTTTATGAGCTTTACGACTACCTTCACTGCAATACAGACTTGCACAGGACTTCCTGGTGGATTATGCAGTGCAGGAAAATTACATCCAACTCAGGGTTTTCTTCTTTCACCTTATCCTGGATTCTTTTCAGAAGCCCGACGTTTTTCCTGTCAAATTTGGCGATCCATCTGTGGTGACATTCACAAGTTTACACCATGGTAACTTAAGCCTCTCGATGACGTCATACAAGTCCACTCCGCGTGTTGTCCCCTTTATGGACTCCATGGCCAAAAACTCCTCCGTGATCTCAAAATTATCATCAATCCCTCTGATAAAAATTAAGAGCTGCGCGGTGTCTTTTATGTCGTTACTTTCCTCCAGTGCTAACGAATAGAACTTAAATGACTCGGCTTTTTTGTTCAAGTCGCTGGTCAAATCCTCGTCAATGAGTTGTATACGGCGGGTCACTGTTCTCCGTGATAAACTAATTTGTTCAAATTTGTTTTTGCTCTCTGGACACAAGAGACTCGCAGTCTCTACCATGCATTCTTTCAAAAACTCCCCTTCGGAGAAAGGCTTGTTGGCCTTTGCTAATTTGAATGCCAGAAAATAACTTGCCTTGGTACTTGACTCCTGAATAGTAGAAAAATATTTTGCTGAGCCTGTAAATTGGCTGCTAACCTCTGAGTAGTAGCCTTCCTTTCTTGCTCTGACTGGTTGCTAGCATAATTAGCATGCTTGGTGGAAAAGTGGCGGCTGATGTTGTATTCTTTGAAAACTGCAATGGTTTCTTGGCAAATAAGACATACGGCCTTTGATCGGACTTCGGTGAAAAAATATTTAGCTGTCCACTCCTTATTAAAAACGCGGCACTCACTGTCCACTTTTCTTTTCTTTGGTCCACTCATTGTTAATTTTACACGTACATAAAAAAAAAAAAAAACGGTCAGACTCTGCAGCGTGAGCTTTGCAATGCAACCGATATTTAGTCACTGTAAGGTTTCCATGGTGACGCGTTGCTTCATACGTGACACACCGCAGCACAGCCACAACTGCTCTGAATGAAATATGATCTGA